ACGATCATGATGATAATGACGATAAAGATAATGATGATGATAAAGATGACGATCATGATGATAATGATGATAAAGATAATGATGATGATGATGATAATGATAATGATGACAGTGGTGATGATGATGATGATTATGAGATAAAGATAACAATGATGATGGAGTTTATAGTGATGATGATGATGATAAAGATGACGATCATGATGATAATGACGATAAAGATAATGATGATGATAAAGATGACGATCATGATGATAATGATGATAAAGATAATGATGATGATGATGATAATGATAATGATGACAGTGGTGATGATGATGATGAATATGAGATAAAGATAACAATGATGATGGAGTTTATAGTGATGATGATGATGATAAAGATGACGATCATGATGATAATGATGATAAAGATAATGATGATGATGATGATAATGATGATGACAGTGGTGATGATGATGATGATGATTATGAGATAAAGATAACAATGATGATGGAGTTTATAGTGATGATGATGATGATGATAAAGATGACGATCATGATGATAATGATGATAAAGATAATGATGATGATGATGATAATGATGATGACAGTGGTGATGATGATGATGATGATGATTATGAGATAAAGATAACAATGATGATGGAGTTTATAGTGATGATGATGATGATGATAAAGATGACGATCATGATGATAATGATGATAAAGATAATGATGATGATGATGATAATGATGATGACAGTGGTGATGATGATGATGATGATTATGAGATAAAGATAACAATGATGATGGAGTTGATAGTGATGATGATGATGATAAAGATGACGATCATGATGATAATGATGATAAAGATAATGATGATGATGATGATAATGATAATGATGACAGTGGTGATGATGATGATGATGATGATTATGAGATAAAGATAACAATGATGATGGAGTTTATAGTGATGATGATGATAAAGATGACGATCATGATGATAATGATGGTAAAGATAATGATGATGATGATAATGACAATGATGACAGTGGTGATGATGATGATGATTATGAGATAAAGATAACAATGATGATGGAGTTTATAGTGATGCTGATGATGATAAAGATGACGATCATGATGATAATGATGATAAAGATAATGAGGATGATGATGATAATGATAATGATGACAGTGGTGATGATGATGATGATTATGAGATAAAGATAACTATGATGATGGAGTTGATAGTGATGATGATGATGATGATAAATAAGATGACGATCATGATTATAGTGGTGATGATGATGATGATGATGATTATGAGATAAAGATAACAATGATGATGGAGTTGATAGTGATGATGATGATGATGATAAAGATGACGATCATGATGATAATGATGATAAAGATGATGATGATGATGATGATAATGATAATGATGACAGTGGTAATGATGATAATGATGATGATGATGATGATTATGAGATAAAGATAACAATGATGATGGAGTTTATAGTGATGATGATGATGATAAAGATGACGATCATGATGATAATGATGATAAAGATAATGATGATGATGATGATAATGATGACAGTGGTGATGATGATGATGATTATGAGATAAAGATAACAATGATGATGGAGTTGATAGTGATGATGATGATGATGATAAAGATGACGATCATGATGATAATGATGATAAAGATAATGATGATGATTATGATAATGATGACAGTGGTGATGATGATGATGATTATGAGATAAAGATAACAATGATGATGGAGTTGATAGTGATGATGATGATGATAAAGATGACGATCATGATGATAATGATGGTAAAGATAATGATGATGATGATGATGATAATGATGACAATGGTGATGATGATGATGATTATGAGATAAAGATAACAATGATGATGGAGTTTATAGTGATGATGATGATGATAAAGATGACGATCATGATGATAATGATGATAAAGATAATGATGATGATGATGATAATGATGACAGTGGTGATGATGATGATGATGATGATTATGAGATAAAGATAACAATGATGATGGAGTTGATAGTAATGATGATGATGATGATAATGATAATGATGACAGTGGTGATGATGATGATGATGAATATGAGATAAAGATAACAATGATGATGGAGTTTATAGTGATGATGATGATGATAAAGATGACGATCATGATGATAATGATGATAAAGATAATGATGATGATAATGATAATGATGACAGTGGTGATGATGATGATGATTATGAGATAAAGATAACAATGATGATGGAGTTGATAGTGATGATGATGATGATGATAAAGATGACGATCATGATGATAATGATGATAAAGATAATGATGATGATAATAACAGTGATGATGATGATGATGATAATGATAACAGTGATGATGATGATGATGATGATAATGATAACAGTGATGATGATGATGATAATGATAACAGTGATGATGATGATAGTTTAAAATGTTTTGTCCAACTTTTAGAAATATTCCATAAAGTTAATGAACGTGATGTCAGCCCGTGACCGCGTGGAAACCGGTCCGGCAGTTGACTTGGTGTCTAAACAACACAACTTCTGCAGTTTGGAAGTATTTCTTGTTCAAAGTAAACTTAAAAGAAGAGCCAGTAAACACTGATGAGGTCATTTGTGCAAGTGGGAATCCCCCACAATGACAAAATTCAAAGCATCAGAAAACACAACGCTTCTACTGGTCTTTGAACGCCACCTTTTACCTCACACAGCAGCTCTGCTGGTTCTTGAATAGATTAAATTGGCGTATGTTATATATTTCTTATGTTACTGTAGACGATGTCTGGTGCTGATCAGTGACATCACCACTGCAGAAGCAGTGGTGATCTGCTGACATCTGTGGAAAGCTCTGAGACGGCTGAATTTGTTTGGAGACACAACAGCTGAAGGGACCAGAACATCGTATCTCCCAGAAATTACCCTGAAATTGCGACAACAGAAACATGGCTCATGATGTAATTAATGTTTGTCTTGGGACCACATAGGTCAATGCGCGTTTGCGAACTATGGACCTCGTACATCACCGCGTGCCCCATGAACTGAACTGTATGGCCGGCGGTGAGATGCCCCTTTTATCCCTCACGGATGCCCCTGTTAAGCCCATGGACTGTGGACTGCCTGATCCCTGTCCCCATGGACTGTGGACTGATGATCCTTGCCCCTTTTGTCCCCTCGTGGAGTCAACCGCCCGCCGGCCTCCCTCCTTCCACACTACTACCTCTCGCATGGACGACGACATCATTGCGTACCACCTGCGTGGGTGGCTCCTCCTCGTTATGCGCGTGGGGACTATCCCGTTTCCTATCCTCTTTTGTTTTTGTGCCTGACCAGGATCCAAGACAAAGACCAAAGGCGTCCAAGGAGACCAACGTTCCTAAGGGACAAACCCATCTGTGCTTCCGACAATCAAGTCGACCGACAACCAAGTCGACTAACGTTCATGAGGGAAGAACCCATCTGTACTTCTGACGATCGAGCTCTGGCGCGATCCCCGAAACCAAAAGGGGGAATGTTGAGGGTCTGCCCTCATGAGAAATTGCTGCAGTAATTTCTCCAAAAGACTGTGCCAAAATTGCTCTGAAGAGCATATTTACACATCAGCACCAGCTACAACTTGATTCCTGGAGCCGGAAGCAATGTGATGACGTCACCGCCGAACCCCGGAAACAAGTTCTGCGTATGTGCGGGAGCCACACGGACTTTCCCGCCAGCCGCTGAAGCTATAAATTATAGCGAAACGAAACCTAACTCCATCTTTTGTTCGGTCAACTGGCTTGAAGACGCTCGTTGCTGTCGCTCCGAACAACGTGAGCACGCGGAGGCCTGGCTGCTGAAGTGGATCGAACACAGAACCGCTGAAAAGCAGTGGAAACCCATCAGATCTGCTCTCCTGATGCCCAGCTCTAGCTGATGTGTGAGGGATTGTTCGCTGCTACGACTCCGGACGTGTGAGCACACAGAACCGCTGGAAAGCAACGGAACCATCATCTAATCAGCGCGAAGAACAAAGGGACGCCTCGGTTCGCTAACGCAAGAGTTTGATTTTTATTTTATTTTTCTCTCTCTCTTCTTCTTTCTCGTCTCTTCTAGACCAAAATAAGCGATAAAACCGTGGATCGTTTTAAAGTAGAACCGGTTTTCTCTTTCGTACCAAAATACGCCATCGGACAATTGAAGTAAGCTCTGTTTCTTTATTGTTAATATCTGGGTTGTGTCTGTCAGCTGTGGCCAGGCTGACCGACTCTGTTAGATATTTTCATTCGCCTTTGATTGGGTTGTTTTTCTTTAGCCTTGTGAAGAAAATTAGCATTTGAAGTGTTTAAGTTACTATGCATGAAACGTGCCACATTACTGAAACGTTAAGTTTTACTGTGATTGAGTTAAAAGTAAGAGCTAAACTTTTTCTGTCTGTATCTGAGGAAAAGTCACAGCTTACAGCTCACATTCCTCCAGCATCACATCACTGCTCCACACACACACACACACACACACACGTTTGTTTTCAGTGTTTAGGAGGACACACGACTAAAACACACCCATCCAATGGGGTCTCCTTGTTTTACGGTATCATTTCATTGTTGTTATTCATTTGATAAAATCAGTTGGTTGATATTGATTGATTAACGCTTCAGAAGGAGCTGAAGTGAATATATTAGTTAATAAATCTATAGCCAATTAAGATTTTTGTCTCAAGTGAATCTGTTTGTGTGATATAAAATTCAACTGCAGCTCGTTAGGATTCACGGAACGTTTAGTCGAGACTGATAAGAATTTTGGATTCATTTCCCTTTCTAATTAGAAGGGGTGGTGCCCCGTAGATATCTCCGGATATCTTAATTAATTAATAAATCGGTAAATATTTCCATATTTACAAATTTATTGAAGAATCCAAAAAGTAAGTAAAAGCTTACAAATTATTCGTTGACCTATAACACCAACATTTGTGTGGAGAGAGCTGTACCTGTGTCAGGTCTGGACCTGTCCTGTGGAGTTCCTTATGGACGGGTCCTTCTGCATGGCTAACGTCTGATTTACAAATTTCAGCATCCCTGTAAGTGAGACCAAGTCAGCGTTCTCCTCCGGACCCTCCAGAGTGCTTGTTGACTCCCTCCTAGACCCGCCATGCAGTTCGTCTCCTTCCTGCTCGGCATTAGCCTCCACGCTGAGGTCAGTGCTGTTTTGTTGGTCCAACATGTATGTGAGAGGGTTGAAGGACAGGTCAGAAGCTCCTGTGACGCTAAGCCCCTGCCAACTGTGGTCCACCGTATCTGGGAAGGAGCAAACCGAGGACTCCCATGACTGCTTGCTCAACACCTCCTTCAGTGTGGCTTTCAGGTCCAGAGGGAAGTCCAGAGAGGAGTTTGTGCTGCTGCTCTGGAGCCAGTCACAGTTTAGAAGGCTGTCGGACGGGTTAAGGACGGATGCAGATGCAGGGTTAGCTGCTGCCAGCGGTTGGGAGGATGATGGACACAAGGTGGTGGAGAGCTCAGGGGGAGGAGACAATTTGTTAAGAACAGGAAGTGAGGGCATGTGGTTGAACAGATTCTGTTGTTCAGTGGCTCGTCCCAGACTGGAGATCCTGGCCTGGAGGCGGGTCACCTCAGACTCCTGTAAGAAGATCAGAACACTGATGAGGGCTCAGATGTAAGGCCTGATTTATATTTCTCCATCTGCATTGGTGTAGAGACATGCAACACCATGATGCGTCTGCACAGGGGTTCTCTGACAGGCTCACAGAGGGAGACGGAGACGTGCCCAATTTTTAAATATTCCTCTAAAGTGTTGGAGACCGCAAGCATATGACTGGTCAGTACGCCGCTACGCCGCTTCCTGTAAATTCGCCAACAGCCCTTTCAAAAAGTACAATGATATTTAGCGGCAGACACGGAAGAGATTGAAGAATGTAAAAAGTCTAAAAATAAAAACGTTTATTCCCCTGTGACTGAAAGAGAACACAAATACGGAGCAAACACTTTCTTCTTGGACAGAAATGACGGGTAACGTGGGTTTAGAGATGGTGACTGCATGAAGAGGTGGAGAATGAAGGACAAGTCCGTCTGCGCCATAAAGTCTCTGAAATATATAAACACATTAGTAAATACGCTATCGTGGACCAGAAAGGTGAGTGTAATGGTGGCGCTACGCCCTCTGCTGTCCTGGCGGAGAATTGCTTTGCAACAATCAGGCAACGGAGAAATCCGAGAGCAAAACGTCTGTCAGTGCACCTGATGGAGAAGTATAAACTAGGCTTAACGCCCTCCTGACCCAACATGACTAAATGTATACCTTAATGAGGAGCGAATCAGCTGATGTCTCCACCACCTCCTCTGAAGCGTGGAGCTGAGCTTGGAGCTGGGTATCCTGGGCTCTGGCCTGGTTCAACTCTGCAGTCAGCTGCTCGACCCGGCCAAGCAGAAGACCGTTCTGAGCTCTCGTCTGCTCGTTCAGAATGTGGCTCTGCTCCAGCTGGGCTTGGAGGTGACTGGCCTGATTCCGGGTGTAATCCAACTCCATCCTAGCCTGGTCTAGTTGGGCTTTGGTGTGGTTGCAGAGCGCCTCTGCTTCCTCCAGCTGGATCTTGGACTGCTGGAGCTTTATGGTGAGCTGCTCCTGGGAGCAGCGCATGGAGGAGGAGATCTGCTCCGACACCTTGAGGAGCTGACCCCGGGTCTGCTGCAGAGACTCCAGCTGCAGGAACAGAACATTTCTGCTAATCAGGAAACAAGGGGGTCACACGGAATAAAACAATATTAACATAAAGGTGAGACGTGTCATACAGGGTTCCCACTCTTTTCTTGAAATTATTTTCCAGGACTTTTCCAGGACATTTTCAAGACTTTTTCAGTGTACAAGTCAAGTTATCATAACTATGGTTTGCCGATATCCCGATATATTTAGAAACAGATATGATATTGTACCTACCTATACTGTTATTTTGACAATATAGTTGTGGAAAGATTTTTGTCTTTCACAATCCCACCTGCTTTCCTCTACTTACAATGCAACACAACTAAAAAAGAAGTCATTCTCTACTTTAGTTCATACCAGAGATGTGACATTGTGGCATCATCAAGTCATCTCCATGTCATGTTTTTGTTCTGCTCAGCAACTGAACCAGGTTAATTCACTGTGCTGATTGAAATCGTTGTTGTCTTCCTCCGCTTATCCGGGTCCGGGTCGCGGGGGCAGCATCCCAACTAGGGAGCTCCAGACCGTCCTCTCCCCGGCCACCTCCACCAGCTCCTTCGGCAGGACCCCAAGGCGTTCCCGGACCAGATTGGAGATGTAACCTCTCCAACGTGTCCTGGGTCGACCCGGGGGCCTCCTGCCGGCAGGACATGCCCGAAACTCCTCCCCAGGGAGGCGTCCAGGAGGCATCCTGACCAGATGCCCAAGCCACCTCAACTGACTCCTTTCGATCCGGAGGAGCAGCGGTTCTACTCCGAGTCCCTCCTGAATGTACGAGCTCCTCACCCTATCTCTAAGGCTGAGCCCGGCCACCCTACGGAGGAAACTCATTTCGGCCGCTCGTATCCGCGATCTCGTTCTTTCGGTCATTACCCAAAGCTCATGACCATAGGTGAGGATTGGGACGTAGATCGACCGGTAAATCGAGAGCCTGGCTTTCTGGCTCAGCTCCCTCTTCACCACGACAGATCGGCTCAACGTCCGCATCACTGCAGACGCCGAACCAATCCGCCTGTCGATCTCCCGATCCCTCCTACCCTCACTCGTGAACAAGACCCCGAGATACTTAAACTCCTCCACTTGAGGTAGAACCTCTCTCCCGAACTGGAGTTGGCAAGCCACCCTTTTCCGGTTGAGAACCATGGTCTCAGATTTGGAGGTGCTGATCCTCATCCCAGCCGCTTCCCACTCGGCCGCAAACCTACCCAGCAAGAGCTGAAGGTCAGAGCTGGATGAAGCTAGGAGGACCACATCATCCGCAAATAGCAAAGACAAGATTCTCCTGCCACCAAACTCGACACACTCCACACCATGGCTGCGCCTAGAAATTCTGTCCATAAAGGTAATGAACAGAACCGGTGACAAAGGGCAGCCCTGGCGGAGTCCAACCCTCACCGGGAACAGGTCCAACTTACTACCAGCTATGTGGACCTAACTTACGCTCCTCTGGTAAAGGGTCTGAATGGTCCTTAACAGTAAGCCACCCACCCCATACTCCTGGAGCGTCCCCCACAGAGAGCCCCTGGGGACTCGGTCATAAGCCTTCTCCAAATCCACAAAACATATGTGGATTGATTGGGCAAACTCCCATGCCCCCTCCATCACCCTTGCAAGGGTATAGAGCTGGTCCACAGTTCCACGGCCAGGACGAAAACCACACTGCTCCTCCTCAATCTAAGATTCAACTATCGATCGGACCCTCCTCTCCAGTACCTTGGAGTAGACCTTTCCAGGGAGGCAGGGAGGCTGAGGAGTGTGATCCCCCATAGTTGGAACACACCCTCAGGTCACCCTTCTAAAAGATGGGGACCACCACCCCAGTCTGCCACTCCACAGGAACTGCCCCTGATGACCACGCAATGTTGCAGAGACTTGTCAACCACGACAGCCCTACAACATCCATAGCCTTGAGATATCCAGGACGAATCTCATCCACCCCCGGGGCTCTGCCGCTGTGTAGTTGTTTGACTACCTCAGCAACTTCTGCCCCTGAGATTGGACAGTCCATCTCCAGGTCTCCTGGCTCTGGTTCCTCCTCAGAATGCGCGTAGGAGGGATTGAGGAGCTCCTCAAAGTATTCCTTCCACCCTCCGACTATAGCCCCAGTTGATGTCAGCAGCTCTCCATCTCCACTGTAAAGTGTGAGCGAGTTGCTGCCTTCCTCTCCTGGGGCGCCGGACAGTTTGCCAGAACCTCTTTGGAGCCGATCGATAGTCTTTCTCCATAACCTCACCAAACTCCTCCCACGCCCGAGATTTTGCCTTGGCAACTGCCACTGCTGCACCCTGCTTGGATATCCGGAACCTGTCTGCTGTCTCCGGAGACCCACAGACCAGCCACGCCTTGTAGGCCTCCTTCTTCAGCCTGACGGCTCCCCGAACCTCTGGTGTCCACCAGCGGGTACGGGGGTTGCCACCATGACTGGCACCGGCCACCTTGTGACCACAGCTAACAGCAGCCGCCTCAACAATCGCAGAGTGGAACAAGGCCCACTCGGAGTCAATGTCCCCCACTGCTCTCGGGACGTGGTCAAAGCTCTGCCAGAGGTGGGAGTTGAAGACCGTCTTGACAGGTTCTTCTGCCAGGCGTTCCCAGCAGACCCTCACTATGCGTTTGGGTCTGCCAGGTCTATGTAGCATCTTCCCCTGCCATCTGATCAAACTCACCACCAGGTTGACAGCTCCGCTCCTCTCTTCACTCGGGTGTCCAAAACATACGGCCGTAGGTCAGATGATAAGACTACAAAGTCTATCATCGACCTGTGACCTAGGCTGCCCTGGTACCAAGTGTACCGATGGGCATCCTTATGGTTCGAACATGGTGTTCGTTATGGCCAAACTGCGGCTTGCACAGAAGTCCAATAATGAAACACCACTCGAGTTCAGATCAGGCGGGCCGTTCCTTCCAATCACACCCCTCCAGGTCATGCTGTCATTGCCCATGTGAGCATTGAAGTCCCCCAGTAGGACAATGGAGTTCCCTGATGGAGCACTATCTAGCACTCGTCCCAGGGACTCCAAAAAGGGTGGGTACTCTGAACTGATATTTAGCCCATAAGCGCAAACAACAGTCAGGACCCGTTCCCCGACCCGAAGGCACAGGGAAGCTACCCTCTCGTCCCGCGGGGTAAACCCCAACACACAGGCAGAGAGTCTTGGGGCTAGCAAAAAGCCAGTTTTGAAAAGTTTTGAATTGGCACCGTCTTCCTGACATCACTCACTCCTGCCTATAAAGGACACAAAGACATATTTTGAAAGATTGTTACTGTTTATATTGACTGTTTATTCAATAAATTAGGCCTGCTTTTCAAACCTTAGCTCTTTCATATCTTTCATATTCTATGTATTATACTTACTGTACACACCACATTACACTTTACTGCTTATTTCACATAGTTGGATGTTAAACTGCATTTTGTTGTTCCAGTATTGGTCATTTTAGGTTAGTCCAGTCATCCAGAAACAAGATTCAAGGGTAGATGACTAGGCTAATATCTCCCGCTAACACCACAGACATATTGGACCTGAGAAAATTTTTTTTTTCTACCTCAGAGATAAGTACTTGTAGTTGTTCACAACCATTTTAGTCTGGACTGTACGTAGCATTACTATGATAAATATATGGTTACCACTTAAAATCATTCTAGTTATTAATTTAGCCGTGTTTAATTCAATTTAATTACGTTAACAACTTTGTTCAAATGACCATGCCAGTCTTCAGTTCTCACTGCCACCTGGCTGCGGTCTGTGTAGCTAGCTAAAAACAGTATGAACAGCTGAGGCTCTGTCCTCTGAGCACATACTTAGTATTTTTGATAGAATCAAATTCATGACATTTTTCTCATTCACATTTTTGTTTCTGCTGTCGGACGATAGAACTAGTATGAATTACTGAGTGGAGCGCGGGTCCGGTAGACTACCTGCTTTCCGTCGCTATCCCGAAGCTCTCGTCATGTTCGCTCGTCTCAACGTATGAGTGAAACAAACAAAAGCTCTCCGCTGCTCCTTTGTCACTCAACAGAGAGAAGGAGAAAAACCTCTCACTCTATAAACTGCAATAAAGCAATACTCGTGAACCGAGTCGCTACTTTTGGCCCTTCTTTGGGGAAATAAATCTAGGGGTGAAAAATCTGTAAATCTAGCCAAAATGACAGTTGGAAAAACAGAAGTGGAACTGGAACTGAAGGGGAATATGCAATCTGATTGGTTGGAAGCGTCATGTGGGGCACTGTGCCAGCTAGATGCAGAAATGAAAGGAGAAGCGCTGCAGCCCAATATTGCCCAATAATCCGTTTGTTTATCCACAAGGAGGGAAAATTATTTTCCAATTGGAAAATTGGACTATCATTTTCCAGGTTTTCCAGGACACGTGGGAACCCTGGTCATAATTTCATCTACTCCATTTCTTGTCTATTGAGACATCCCTGGCTCATCCCGACATAAAGACTGTTACAGTAGTCAAGCCTCGAGGTGATGAATGCATGAATGATTCTTTCCAGATGACTTCTCACCAGAACCGACTCGACTCAGGCCAGCTTCCTTAGTTGGACGAAGCAGGACTTCACCACACAGTGGATCTGCTAATCTGCATATTCCATCATTGTTCTTTCAGTGTCTCAGTTGATATCACCGTAACTCATTATTTATAATCGTTTGTTCTGTATCATCATAGTAGTAGAAATATAGTAATAAACAGATTTTTATAAATGACATTTTTGCCTCTGTGTAAAATTATTACATAGTGTTGTTTCCCTGGCGTACCCAAATTACCCAGTTTCATCATCAATCGAATATCAATAGGTCAATAATATTGATGATCCATATTTTTATGGATTATTACATTTTATTGAACACCTTTATATTCTATTGACAATTTATTAAAAGTAACCATTTACAAAACGTTAACAAAGGCGATGTCTTGCTAGGCCAGATGCCTTGCTTACGAGGACACTGTAGTTCCTTGGACAACTGCTTTGGATCTAAAAAAAAGTATTGTATGTATGTATGTATGTATGTATGTATGTATGTATGTATGTAGTCCGTCCGTCCGTCCGTGCGGTCGGTCGGTCGGTCGGTCGGTCGGTCGGTCGGTCGGTCGGACGGACGGACGGACGGACAGACAGACAGACAGACAGACAGACAGACAGACAGACAGACAGACAGACAGACAGATAGATAGATAGATAGATAACTGTTGATGAACTGGAAATTTGCACCCAAAGTAGCTGCCGGCTTCTGATCCGTTATCCTTTTGAAAATGCTGCGGTGTATTCTGGGAAATTTTTGACCAAGGCGAGGCTAAAAGACCCCTACCGTGTATCCTTGCTCAGCTAGCTAAACGGCTAACAAAGGTTGAGAACAGAAGCCTCGGTAGCACATGACCATTGGAAAACAGTGTAACGTTATGAAGTTCATTATTTTCAGCTCCACACAGCTGCCCCCGTACACAGTAACACCCGTGTAGAAAACGCCAAGGTCGGGTGTTCCTCAGACTGTTTACATTCCAGGAGGAGAGCCAGAAGGAGAAGAAGAACGCTTTTCAATAATCAAAGTACTTAATTTGTGATTAAAGCTAGTCGAACCAGATGTTGATCAATAATAATCAAGTGAATGATCTGTGGAATAAAGATGTCATGATTTATTTGTTTAATGAAAACAGGACTACTGCACAGACAGACAGACCCTCATCTCCATAGAAATGCATGACACATTGTTCCAACCAATCAGAGCCTTCGGCTGCCGCAAGAGAATCTGGCTTGTTGACTTAAAGTGTCCAATCCGCTTTACTAAAACTTATCAACAATTCAGAGATATAAAACAAGGCAACGCCATTTTAAGGTCAGTTCCATTTTGACTTCAGTTCTAGTAACGTCATCCCAAAGAGAAGCACAGCCTGGCCAGATGTGTTTTCTTCTTTAAACTAAGAACTGTGAAGTTGGAGATTTTCGTCATTTAACAACCAGACGACATCCTTTCAAAATAAGAGCACCTGCTGACGCTGCCGATGGTTACCTAGGTCGACCCTTCAGACGGGCTTTGAAACTCTGCGATCGCTGTTTCGACCAGCTCCAGCGCACATCCGAGGTCTTCAGACCTGGCATTTCCTGATCTACCTGGGAGGCCCCCACTGGGTATGTACACGGCAAAATAGCAGCTCATGTCATCACTTTATAAGCCTCGTGATATCTAGTCATAACAATCAGACTACCAGATTCAATGACGTCAGCCTAAGGAGTCTGAACCAACCACACACACACACACACGCACATCGAACATCACATTCATTTCCAAACAACACAGAGTTATTCCTGGTAGATTGTTAAGAATTTATAATTAAGAAATTAAAGATTCTTAAACGATCCCAACTCTCTCTCTTTTCTTGTCTCAAAGTCAATACAGAGTGTTTAATTAAACTCCCTGATGATAAAAACAGCCCATCTTCTGATTATAACAAGTGATCTACTTACAGTGTATTAAAATACAACTCTAGATAGTTTCATCACTCTATTTCTCTACAACAGTGTTGGGGAGAATACTTTGTACATGTATTTAGTTACAGAATACTGAATACTTGCTTTAAAATGTATTCTGTAATGTATTCCGTTACTCTGTTTAATCTTGGTACTGTATTCAGAATACTTAGAATACTTCCCCATAAAAACAGCATTTAGGGTCTTAAATGCCACAATATGAGCTGATAGCTACTCCCGCAGGAAAGCAGGGCATATTAATGCTAAATGTCATTTACCGACTGGGAAAAAATTTAAAACGATTTAATTTTTTTGTTACTTTATTTATCAAACAGTCAATAGAAAATATATTTCTGGTTCTGTGAGAAAGTGCTTGAACATTGCACGGCATTACTGTCTGCAAGAAAATGTAATCTAGACAAAACGCTTCTAAATAATTGGGAGTGGCCAATCACAGCACATCTATTTAGAAAAAACGATGTATTGTGCTCATTTTTTTATGTGTTTTGTAGTTTTTCCACGATGGAATGGCGGACTGCCTCGTTGATAGACATCCAAAGTAGTCCAATCACAGCGCTTTATATGTTTGATGGGCCAATCATAGCACTCTGTCAGCCAAATGGGCAGAATGTACCTGCAAGTTAGCAAACCAAGATGGCCGCTGCTCCGTAGTGGTTGAATCACAGCGCTGTTTTGGTTTGGTGGGCCAATCACAGCACTCTGTTGGTGGACGGGATGTTACTGATATAAAGATAGCGGTGGATCGTTTGAAACGGCTTTGGCATCAACTTTGGACTATTTTTGACTCGGGGTTTTCTTTGAGTCAAGGGGAGATGGATGGAGGTACTTTAGTTTATTTCAAAAAGGACGTATTTGCATCTTTTTTGACGGAATAGGGCGGACCGCATCGTTGACTTGACATCCATAGCGGTGAGTACGTCTGGTTGTTTGGTTTCCAATAGCATGCGGAGGAAGACCGTAGATCCCACCCCGCGCTTAGAGCAGAGACTAGAAAGAGAGCTGAGAGCTGTCAACGGACCGTAGACACTGCCCAACAAGCATGGACGTGCCCGGGCCCCGGAAAACCTCACCAGGGAGGCGTCCAGGAGGCATCCTGACCAGATGCCCGAGCCACCTTCTCTCGATGTGGAGGAGCAGCGGGTCTACTCCAAGCCCCTCCCGGATGACCGAGCTTCTCACCCTATCTCTAAGGGAGAGCCCAGCCACTCTGCAGAGAAAACTCATTTTGGCCACTTGAATCCATGATCTTGTTCTTTCGGTCACTACCCAAAGCTCATGACCATAGGTGAGGGTAGGAACGTAGATCGACCGGTAAATCAAGAGCTTTGCCTTCTGACTCAGCTCTCTCTTCACCACGACAGACCGGTACAACGCCCGCATCACTGCAGATGCAGCACCAATCCACCTATCGATCTCACGCTCCAGTTTTCCCTCACTCGTGAACAAGACCCCGAGATACTTAAACTCCTCCACTTGGGGCAGGACCTCATCCCTGACCCGGAGAAGGCATTCTACCCTTTTCTGAATCAAGACCACGGTCTCAGATTTAGAGGAGCTGATTCTCATCCCCGCTGCTCCACACTCGGTTGCGAACCGCTCCAGCGAAAGCTGAAGATCACGTTCTGATGAAGCCAACAGGACCACATCATCTGCAAAAAGCAGAGACCTGATCCTCAGGCCACCAAAACGGATGCCCTCCACACCTTGGCTGCTCCTAGAAATCCTGTCCATAAAGGTTATGAACAGAATCGGTGACAAAGGGCAGCCTTGGCGGAGTCCAACTCTCACTGGGAACGAGCCCGACTTACTAACGGCAATGCGGACCAAGCTCTGACACCGGTCATACAGGGACCTAACAGCCCGTATCAGAGGGCCTGGTACCCCATACTCCCGGAGTACCCCCCACAGGGCCCCCCGAGGGACGCGGTCAAACGCCTTCTCCAAATCCACAAAACACATGTAGACTGGTTGGGCAAATTCCCACGCACCCTCCAGGACCCCCCTAAGGGTATAGAGCTGGTCCAGTGTTCCACGGCCAGGACAGAAACCACATTGCTCCTCCTGAATCCGAGGTTCAAACAAAAATGTTGATAGGTTGCTGCAAAAATAAGTTTGTTTCCAAATGAAAAGTTTCAACCACACATATCTGTAGATAAAGGAAAATGTGCACATTGCCGTCACTTTTAAAAAAATATTGAGTTTAGCCCGCGACTTCGTCCCAGTTTTTCATTTTGGCCCAGTGGGAATTTGATATTGACACCCCTGCTGATTGCATGGGTGGAGACCTGGAGTACCTGATGAGTGGTTTCAGGGAGGGGAGGAACTGCTTGTTTACAGCCCCTAACTGCACTTATTGCTTCCATGTGGCTCAACCGGAGCTACTAGACAACAGGGTTACCCACAGATGGGTCTCCTCCTCTTTCCAGCGGTAGATAGTAAAAAACAAAAAGATTCAGAATGAAAATCTTACACTAGCAGATGCTCAAACCCTTCCATGCAGCTGGAGTCGGTCTGAGAGTGTTGCAGTGAGTTTTTAACCTTTGGCTCAGGTGAGAGTGGGCCTGTGCCCCTAAAGGCCTTTGCTGACAACATGATACATTTACTTTTGAACAGTAAAAGTAGATGATTAGGGCCAACCATGTGCTACAGTAGACTGTTCTAGATGGGATTTAAATGGTTCCAGGAGTATCTGATGAAGGGTTGATGCATCAGCTGTAACTTCACCTCCTTGCTGTGCTGATCCTTCTCCAGCTCTAACTGCTGCTCCAGGGCGCTGATGGTGCTCTGCAGCTTGGCCTTCTCCTGCAGCCACTGTGCCTCCTTCAGCGTCAGCTCCTCCTCCACATTGCACAGCTGGGCCTCCTGCACCACACACATGGATGCACACACACACGTGATGTTAACAGTGCTACGTTGAGTGAAAGAACAGCTGGTGTCCGACTTCACCGTCTCTCTGATTTGCAGCCTGGTGGCGTCCAGCTCTTTAGCCAGACTCTCACTGTGGAGCTCAGATTCTCCAAGCTTTCCCAGAACCTCCTGAAGCTCCTGCTGGGTCACACGCAGTTTCCGGCTGTGCTGCTCTTCCTACAGAGCACAGAAGAAACATCAGGACACATGTGTGAATCCAACAAAACAAACAATAACATGTAAAAACGCATTCCCCTGACGGAGTGACCAGAGATCAGGTAGAAGTGTGCGTGTGCCCAAAGGTGTTCTCCTAACACAAACATGTACTACTGAATAACTGTTGATCCCCCTGAAGATGGCTGCTGCAGCTCTAGTCAGTTTCACCCACACGGTTTCACTCTAGCCAAGTCATTATTTACAGGGTATCTGCAGGGTTAAGGGAGCCAAATTTAAGACTTTTTAAGACCTTTTTTAAGGCCACTTTGACCAAATTTAAGCAATTTTTAAATTTAAGCTATAATTTCCAGTTATTGCCTGGAACCGGTGCTAACCACGTCGCGAATGTAGGATTAGCCATCCAGTTATCATTAAACTTGCCCTTCCCCATGGCGCAAGCTCCCACTAGCTTAACCAGCTAATGTGCTCATTTAAAATAGCCCCCTTTCACAACCAGCTGAATGTGTACGGTTCTGCTTACGGCAACATCGTACACAAAAAACGCTGAACACTAACTAGAAATTCACGAAAATTTTATAGAAATAAAACAATCTTGTTTATTGGGTCTTTGGTAATTTAAGAGCTTTGAAAACTCTATTTAAGGATTATTTGTCATTTTTATGGATTTTTAAGACCTTAAATTTGGAAAAGCTAATTTAAGACTTTTAAAGACTTTTTAAGGACCCGCGGATACCCTGTATTCACCTGGAAACTGATCAGATCCATCATATCCGTCTATCTGAGTTTAAACCCTTACAGGAGATGAATTCCTGAATCATTCAGATCTACTGAAGTGAATCTGAAGCTAATTAAGAACAACCTGAGACCACCGCTGTTCTCCTGAGAGTTAGTCGACATCAACCCCGACATCACTGCGCTTTAGACTAGAGTGCATCATTCACCCATTCACACATACAATCACACCCTGACGGCGATGGTGGCAAGGCGGGTTAAGTGTCTTGCCCAAGGACACCACAGCAGCATTCTCTGGTCAGAGCCGGTGTCGGTACAGGATCTGCTCGGGCTGATGGATCGGCTCGGGGTCCTGCGCCTGCTGATGACGTCACATTAAGGCTAATCCACTCACCTTTCCTAAAAAAGTTACCACCCAAACGTTTCATTTATAACTGTAATTTGTTAATAAAACACCAAATTATCTTTGTCTTGTAAAGAATGTGAAAGTGCACAAAACCAACATCAGACACAACAGGTTCATGTACGCGAAGCCTCGTCCGTTTGTGTTGATGTGGGATTCGTCTGTATGTTTCTGCAGTTGTTACGTTAACACAGTGGTTCCCAAACTTATTTAGCAAGCAAAAATCAAGAGCTGCTGGTTTTAGTGAACTCTTTGAACGAGAATTGTGAATCGCAGAAAGAGGAGTTGAAAAGCGTGCGAGGATCTCAAACTACAGTGGAACACGAGGAGATGAAACACAAAGCTCAAGAGCTGGAACTTTTAGTTAACTCTTTGAACGAGCAATTTGAAAAGCTGAAAGAATTTCACAAGAAAAGTGAATTAAAACAGCAGCAGGAGATCAAACGGCTGTCAGACGAATTAGAGAAAGCACAATCTGCTGAGAGGGTGTACCGAACCAAACTCACTCAAGCTACAGCGGAAGCGGAGGAGATGAGAGAGAAACATGAAAGAACACTGGCAGTTAAGGAGATGTGCTTTGTAGGCACTGATGATGAAGTCAGTGAAGAAATGTGCTCATCAAGCTCTGAGTTGGAACAGGAAAATTCTGAGCATCTACGTTTGACCGACGCTGATGAAAAAGGTGATCTGAGTTGGTCAAACTCCGATTTTGAATTCACGTCTTCTGAAGGAGAAATGGGGAAAGAACTGCTTCCATCGAGCTCTGACTATGAACAGGAAGAGAGTTTTGCAGATCAAACATCTCCGAAGGAAGCCAAATGCCTGGAAACTCCTGGTAAACGAAGGGGTGAGGTGAAAAAGATGGACAGATCTCCAAAGAGTGCTAAAAAGGAGGAAGGGTTCGGGAAAAGGTCTTCCAAACATCCATTGGTCAAATTAGAACGTGATGGGAGTGAAAAACCACACTCCTCAACGTCGCGTCCCCAGCCCAAACCAACAGAGTCTGCTCCACAACCAGTCAGAGGGGAACCTATAGAGCAGAGGACAGTCCCCCACAACGTGCTCCCTTCTTTTTCTGGGAAAACCGTGCTTCCTCCACTCTCTGGGAAAACCGTGCTTCCTCCACCCTCTGGGAAAACCACGCTTCCTCCACTCTCTGGGAAAACCACGCTTCCTCCACTCTCTGGGAAAACCACGCTTCCTCCACTCTCTGGGAAACCCCTGCTTCCTTCTATTCCTACTAGACCCACACCTCCATTTTAGAAAACTTTGTATTAGACAACTAGTGTATAATTATATAAAATTCAAAACGTTATTCTAGACACAAGTACATAAGAGAAGAATGTTGCTGTAAAACAGTTTTTCTGAAGAAGATATGACATTATAGTTTGAATGCTGTAAGCATAAAAAAACTGCAGCAGAAGTAAATATCTCACAGAGAACAGATCACCCGATCAAATTATTTCTGTCCTATTTCTGCTGCATGGGGGGGGGGGTTTCTCTGGGTGCTCCAGTTCACCCCCCAATCTAAAATCTTGACACATTACACTGACGGATCTGCTCAGCATTCAAACAGCATTTGTGCAAGAAACGCATTTGAATAGAATAGAATAGATTAGAATAGAATAGAATAAAAATCGCCCTGTCAGTAAAATTTGATGTCAAAACAATGACAGTTACATGGGCAAAGTATGAGAGTTAGTATTAAAGAGTAAAAATACAATAAAACGTAACACAGGATATATATATATATATACATTGATCTGCAGGCAGGAATGCAGGCACAGATAAAATAAATACGGCAGGAAACAAGTCACAATACAACAAACAGAAAACCGTCAGATTGATTGGACATTCTAAATCTCGCACGGGTAAGGTAAGTCACAATTCCTAATTACTTAGGTTTTTATGGTTGATCTTCTGGTAGTTAACCCTTTAATGCATAACGGCCACTACAGTGGACAGGTACTCAAAATTGTTATTTATTTATTTATTGTTGCTATTAAGCACAGCTGTTGAAGACTTTATTGCATGTGAGCCCCTCCATTTGGACTTCGGTAAGGCAAGCCAACATATTTCATGTTCAGAATGCACGCTGTCCACTGAGTTGGACATGTAGTAAATTATATGTAAATTATTAAATGTTACAAAAGAGTTGAAAAAGTTGAAATTTGTTTCATTCACACCTAAAGATGAATGAAAAAATGTGTTAAAAACATGGTTGAAGATTTCATAATTCATGCATCAAAGGGTTAAAATCTTACTCAGGTCTTTTGATATGAAGGCGTATTTTGCTATTTTACTTATTACATTCTATTTTTTACATTTATCTCTACTAGGGTTCTATTTAACACCCGTATACGCGACATAAAAGTTCACACTTTTACTTGTATTTTGGTATGACTCTGATTTTTATCATTCATGAGGTGCAAAAGTCCTCAGGTGTTGTTGAGTTTATCTTTTATTACTTAAAAATTCACACTCAGGGGGAATGTTACAGTTTTTATATATTTCGTCTTCGTCGTCTTCGTCTTCCTCCGCTTATCCGGGTCCGGGTCGCGGGGGCAGCATCCCAACTAGGGAGCTCCAGGCCGTCCTCTCCCCGGCCTTGTCCACCAGCTCCTCCGGCAGGACCCCAAGGCGTTCCCGGACCAGATTGGAGATGTAACCTCTCCAACGTGTCCTGGGTCGACCCGGGGGCCTTCTGCCGGCAGGACATGCCCGAAACACCTCCCCGGGGAGGCGTCCAGGAGGCATCCTGACCAGATGCCCAAACCACCTCAACTGGCTCCTTTCGATCCGGAGGAGCAGCGGTTCTACTCCGAGTCCCTCCCGAATGTCCGAGCTCCTCACCCTATCTCTAAGGCTGAGCCCGGCCACCCTACGGAGGAAACTCATTTCGGCCGCTCGTATCCGCGATCTCGTTCTTTCGGTCATTACCCAAAGCTCATGACCATAGGTGAGGATTGGGACGTAGATCGACCGGTAAATCGAGAGCCTGGCTTTCTGGCTCAGCTCCCTCTTCCCCACGACAGATCGGCTCAGCGTCCGCATCACTGCAGACGCCGAACCAATCCGCCTGTCGATCTCCCGATCCCTCCTACCCTCACTCGTGAACAAGACCCCGAGATACTTAAACTCCTCCACTTGAGGTAGGACCTCTCCCCCGACCCGGAGTTGGCAAGCCACCCTTTTCCGGTCGAGAACCATGGTCTCAGATTTGGAGGTGCTGATCCTCATCCCAGCCGCTTCACATTCGGCCGCGAACCTACCCAGCAAGAGCTGAAGGTCAGAGCTGGATGAAGCTAGGAGGACCACATCATCCGCAAAAAGCAGAGACGAGATTCTCCTGCCACCAAACTTGACACACTCCACACCACGGCTGCGTCTAGAAATTCTGTCCATAAAAGTGATGAACAGAACCGGTGACAAAGGGCAGCCCTGGCGGAGTCCAACCCTCACTGGGAACAGGTCCGACTTACTACCGGCTATGCGGACCAAACTCACGCTCCTCTGGTAAAGGGACTGAATGGCCCTTAACAGAAAGCCACCCACCCCATACTCCTGGAACGTCCCCCACAGGGTGCCCCTGGGGACACGGTCATAAGCCTTCTCCAAATCCACAAAGCACATGTGGATTGGTTGGGCAAACTCCCATGCCCCCTCCATCACCCTTGCAAGGGTACAGAGCTGGTCCACAGTTCCACGGCCAGGACGAAAACCACATTGCTCCTCCTCTATCTGAGATTCAACTATCGATCGGACCCTCCTCTCCAGTACCTTGGCGTAGACCTTTCCAGGGAGGCTGAGGAGTGTGATCCCCCTATAGTTGGAACACACCCTCAGGTCACCCTTCTTAAAGATGGGACCACCACCCCGGTCTGCCACTCCCTAGGAACTGCCCCCGATGACCACGCAATGTTGTAGAGATGTGTCAACCATGACAGCCCTACAACATCCATAGCCTTGAGATACCCAGGACGAACCTCATCCGCCCCCGGGGCTCCGCCGCTGTGTAGTTGTTTGACTACCTCAGCAACTTCTGCCCCCGAGATTGGACAGTCCATCCCCAGGCCTCCCAGCTCTGGTTCCTCCTCGGAATGCGCATTGGTGGGATTGAGGAGCTCCTCAAAGTATTCCTTCCACCGTCCGACTATAGCCCCAGTTGACGTCAGCAGCTCCCCATCCCCACTGTAAACAGTGTGAGCGAGTTGCTGCCTTCCTCTCCTGAGGCGCCGGACAGTCTGCCAGAACCTCTTTGGAGCCGATCGATAGTCTTTCTCCATGGCCTCACCAAACTCCTCCCACGCCCGAGATTTTGCCTCGGCAACTGCCACTGCTGCACCCCGCTTGGCTATATATTTCACCATCTTAATGTTCTTTTTAAGTAATCATGTTTCAAGGCAAGTTTCAGTACTTTTCTTTTCAGCCCAGCTCTGGTATGCTGATAAGACACACACACACACATACACACACACGCACACGCACACACACACACACACACTGTAACATTTTCTGTTTCCTCCCCTGGACTCCTGATCATTGAGGACGTTTCGACATGTTGAGCTAGCTGAATCACCAAAAATGGCCGTTCTCCGGGGCTTCCGGTCGGAACAACATGATGACGGCTGCGTGCTGAGAGAGCTCCCGTCAGACCCCCAGTAATTCTCTACAACCCCCAACAAGTTGAGTAATTACTGCATTCAGAGAGCGTTAGAAAGGGGGCTAGAAACTCACTGAGCATTGAAAACCGCTGGAAATCCCTGAAGAGCAGCGGGAGAAGAGGACCTAACTGAGGTACGGAAGGCTAATGCTAACCGTGGATCAGCTAACAACGACAACAATGGGCGATCTGGAAGCGATCTTACACGAGCTGAGAGGGTTCCGAAAAGAAAACAAAGAGCAGCTCGAATCGATAAAAGAAGAAATCGCAAAGGTAAACACCAGACTGAGTGAAGCAGAAGAGCGAATCGGAAAGCTGGAGGACAGAAGTCAAAATACGGAGCAAGTTTTAACAGACATGCTAAAGCTATATGTGCAGCTAGAGGTAAAGATAATGGATCTGGAAAGTCGAACTAGATGCGAAAATGTAAGGATTTATGGAGTTCCTGAGGGTGCTGAAAGCGAAAGTGCCTTGGTGACGACATTTGTGGGGAACCTCCGCCGCGAAGAACTCGGACTCTCCGAAGAGCAGGCCGATCTCCGTATAGAGCGAGCACACCGCTCACTAGGGCCCACATCACCGGTCGGTGCCCCGCCCGCTCCATTATAGTAACGTTTCTGAGCTACAAGACTAAAGAACTGGTCCTCCACAAGGCATGGCGGAGCAAGGGAATAAAATGGAAGGAGAATGTGATTAAAATAGACCATGATTTCCCAAAGAAGGAGAGAGTACGCAGAGGTCCGAAAAGTGCTCAAGGACAACAAAGTTCCGTTCCAGACGCTCTTCCCGGCAAGGTTGAAAGTTTCATACAAAGAAGGGATAAAAATCTACGACAACATTGAAGAAACAACTGAAGACATGGCGGCCAGGGGCTACAGGGTGAGGATCGCTAAATCTCCGGAAACGCTGATGGAGCAGATTCGTCAACTGACCTGGAGGAAACCACAGAGGGGCGCAAAGAGAAGGGCGACCACCACTGCCCGGGACGTGGCTACAGAGAGAGGCTGAGGGCCTTCAGGCACCCCTCCCCTGCATCTCCGGAGCCGCAGTAGGTAGAGAGATGTGGCGTGCTTACGACTCGGACTTTGCACCCAACAGAAATGATGACAGATTTAAAAACTGGTCTCTAAGGGGTCTTACATCCTATAATCTGTTTCTCCACAAGGGGCCAGTCAAGAGCTTCGAGGCCTTAAAAATGAATACGGTTGGAAAGGGAGACTTGTACAGATTTTTACAAGTCAGGCACCACATCAATCAGAATATGAAAAAGGCAACGAGTTTTGGAGAGGCAGGCTTCCTGGAAACATTCATGTCACTATTGAAACCGGGTCAATGTACTAAAGTGGTGTCCAGACTGTACAAGGGAGTGCCGCTGTCTAAACAAGACAATACGGACTACATACGAAAGAAATGGGAGGCTGAAATACGCGACCCAATTCCAGCAGAATTGTGAGGAGGGATATGCCAGCTCCAGTGGATATTTTTAGAATCACCTTCATGGCGGGAATTCTGCTGGAAGAATATGGCGAGATTCTTCATCACACCCGTTCAGAAAAAACACCTGGGCACTGGCGATGCCTGCTGGAGACTTTGTGGGGCAGAGGGTGCAACCCATGGACACATTTTCTGGGATTGCAATGCATTAAAGAGATGCTGGACAGAAATTCATACTCATATAGAGAATATGTCTGGAATCAAGGTTCCACTCAAGTGCACCACTTTGTTCACGGGAGTCGCACCAAAAGCGTTGGACAGATATGATAGGAGGTTGTTTCGTCTGCTCATGGCAGCAAGTAAGAAAGCAATCATGAGGAGATGGATGACGGCGGAAACCCCTACAGTTGAGGACTGGATTGCTATTGTACACGAAATTTATACAATGGAAAAAATGACGCTTTCTCTCAGGGTTCAAATCGAAAAATTCTATAAAATCTGGTCTAAATGGTCTGAATATGTAAAACCAACAAGATCCGACTCTGGGTAAGCCACAAAACTGCAAACGAGTAACTCGCCATCCTTGTACTGATGCCAGTTTATTTAACCCTGTAATGAGCCAGAGATCCCCCCCCCCCCCACACCCCCACTTCTGTGTTATTTATTTTTGTTGTTGTTGTTTCCTTTCTCTCTGCTTTGTTCCTCTAGCTGTGCGTTCTCTTTAACAGCAGATTGATGTTATAACACTGATAAAAACGAATTAAAAAAGCTGAATAAAGAAAAAATGGCCGTTCTCCACACGTAGCAGGTAAAGGCTAATCAGACTGAGGCGGGGCTCCGTGGGCGCCCGGTTGGCCTCATAGGAAAGTGACGTACTTCAGTAAAGTTAGAGATGGATTCAACATTTTTGGCTCAATAACCTCTGATCGGAAGGTCCTTTTCAAACACAGCAGACCTCTTTGGTATCGTGGTAAGATAGTGAACAAACTACAACGTCATTGCTTTTGCCAACAACCCGTTGTCTGCGCCCGACATGTTACGATGCCGCCGCGAGCGCTCAGGGACCGTCAGCAAATATAAACAACACTGCAGGTCATGCAGCCAGATCATTACAAATAATTCTAATATTGAGGTTTGATTTTCATGTCTCTTGGAGGGACATTTCCAGTATAGAGTGCATTTTATGATACAAACATACATTTAATTAAAGTTGATTTATTCCCTGTCCAGCAGATGGTGCCCCAGGCAGTCACCTGTGCTGCCGGTCTGCGAGGCCGGCCCTTAACTGAACTCCATTAACATATCTACTCAGTGAAAGGCCGGGAGACGACGCTCGTTGTGATTTGGTGCATCATAAATAAACTGAATTAAATCCTAATTATTATGAAGCATTTGATGTTGTGGTCCAACACAAACCAAAGGTTATTGTCTGGTTTGTCTCAAACCCTTTTTCATGTAGACCCGGTGGTGATGGCCCTTTTCCATGTTGCACATGAACAAGGCGATGGTCCACAGCTGACGTCCCTAACCTGTTTGTGGGTGCTCAGAAGCTCCCTCTGAGCTTCTCTCAGCTCCTTCTCTCTGACCTCCAGGCTCTGCTGCAGAGACTCCAGCTTTCTCTCCAGCTCCTGCTTGTGATCTCTGATGGCTGCATCCAGCTGGCTGAGCTGAGATCACCACAGAGGAAACATCAGCAGCAGTTAGAACATCGAACAAGTTCAGCTGATGATCTAGGGGGCAATGTACCAGCTTAGCCCTCTGCTGCAGCTCCCCCTGTCTCTCCTTCAGGGCATTGTCCACGTCCAACAATTCCAGAGTCCTGTCCTCCAAGTCCTTCTGGACGTCGCTGCAACGCCACAGACAAACATTTTCATGGAATCATTCGTCATTAAACCCAAAAGGAGCTGCAATAACTGAAATAAACACTGTTTGGATGGAAGAAATGAATAAAAGTAACTTCCTGTAGCAGAATAGCAGTGTGTGTGTGTGTGTGTGTGTGTGTGTGTGTGTGTGTGTGTGTGTTGTTTTACAGAGAAGAGAATCTAATACATAATCATGATTTCACCTCAGATTCAAGAGGATGTTGTTTACATAAACATCAATGAAAATGGGAGGAGGGCGGTTCTCATCCCTGAAGGATGTTCCGGCATCCTCCTTCCATCCCGTTCCACATGATGGCGTGTCCTCACCTGAGCTGGACAGTCAGCTTGTCCACTTGGGCTTGCCGCTCATCAGAGACGGTTTGGGTTTCCTGCAGGACGTCTCTGAGCTCCTGCAGCCGCTCCAGGGTGTCAGCCAGCTCCACCTGCACAGCGTGCAGCTGTCCCTCCAGGGTCTGGACCCTCTGCTTGCAGCTGAGCCTATCCGCCTCACAGCGATGGAGCTGGTCCTCCACGTCCTCCACTGGAGAAAGATATGCCACGGTGAGATGACCGGCAGCCAAAGGAAATCCCTATCTGCTGGGAAATGACGCCTTACTGCTAAAACGCTAAACCAGCACAGATTACTGATGTGGAGTCACAGTGAACAGCAGTAAACACACCAATGGAAGCCTTGGTGAAGAGCTGGGTCTTAGTGAGCTGCAGGTTCTCCTCCAGTCCTCTGATCTGAGAGGCCTTGATGACAAGTTCACTCCTCAGGTGCTCCAGCTCAGACTCCTTAGAGAGCTGCTCAGTCCGACTCTGCTGCAGCTCTGATGTCAGATGGCTGCAGAACCACACAACACAAACCTGATCATCAAAGCCTGCTGCACAACAAGAAAACACTCAAAGGTTAGAGAGGAAAACCGGCGTTACATCTTCTACTGAATAATAAAAGAATCTCAGCAGATGTGTTTTAGAACCAAGTCACAGAAAAGGACTGACCGATTAGGCATGAGCACACCTGAAACCTTTCACAACTGGGTTTAAAGAAATACCAGTCGTTTTCTAGCAAGACTTCCTGTTTGTTTCCCAAGACAGATCCTCATTCATACATTCTGCCTGCTGGTGGTGGTCGGAGGGACCGGTGGCGCCAGCATTCAGCAGCCTCGCCGCGTCCCTGGGCAGCTGTGGCTACATCGTAGCTCATCCCCATCAGCGTGTGAATGGGTGGATGATTGAGTTGTGCCTTGGGGGTCTGAATCCTACATGGATTTGCTTTATCCAAACAACAAATGTACATTTATAAGGAGTTAGCGTGATAAAAGCTACGGACGCCACACGGCCCGCCATGAACAGCCGCTGCTGCAGCAGACACTGATGTCACTGTAACAGCTGTGAACAAAAATATAAACGCAACACTTTTGTTGTTGATCCCACTTTTCATGAACTGAACTCACATCTAAACATGTGTTAGTGAACACTTTTCCTTTACCTCACAGGTGTGGCACATCAAGGGCTGGTTAGACAGCATGATTACTGCACAGGTGGGCCTTAGACTGCCCACAATAAAAGGCCAGCTTAGAGTATGAAAGTCTCATCTCCTGGAGGAGACCTTGTGAGTGCAGCTCCATGTAAACGGGGGTGTTTGTTAAGACGAATACCTCAATAGCCAGGGTAGGAACAAAACAACAAGGGACTGTTTTGGTATGAAGCAGCATAAAATAATCCAGGCAGATTAAACCAGCTGAACACTGATGACCTGTGCCCACTGGCAGGGCAGGTTTTTGACAACTGTCATGACCTTTACATTACATAGCCTTCTCCTACACTACACGGGAAAGACCAAAAGCTGAATATATTTTATCATCACCATAAGTACGTAAATGTTTTAGTTCCTGCTATGATGGTGGTGGGACTCTAGATCCTCCGGCCTTGGTTTGTAGCGGTGAGGAAGCCAAGCGTTTACCATCAGGGTTTGAAGTTCTGGGATGTAGTTATCTTTGGCCACCTCCTTAAACCTTCTTGTTGTGTCCGAAATTACACATGCAGTTATTTGTAGTAGCAACGTATTCAGCTAGAAAAACATCTGTTTTAAACAAGATAAATGTACTGTACGGACCCTTCTGCTCTTATGTGAGTGCGAGTGCTGGAACGGGTGCTGCAGGTTGCTTTGATTATGAACGGTGTCCTTTACGCCAAGGTTATTCCATTTTGGGCCTCGAGGGCCGGTATCCAGCACATTTTAGTGGTTTCTTTAGTCCAGCACACTAGATTCAGTGATTGAATCACCTGTGCAGCAGCTGATCAGGCTCTGCAGAAGCCTGTTAATCACCTGCTGATTGAAATCATGTGTGTTGAAGCAGAGTTAGAACCATAAGTGCTGGACACCGGCCCTCGAGGCCCTGCTCCATGCTGATTACTTGGAGAGCATCGCATTTGATTTGAGTTTTTAGGGCCACTCCACCCCCGAGAACACAAGCATTTTATTATTTACTCTCTGTTGCAGTTTTTATGAATGTGGACACAATAAGCATAAACGACATACACTCACTGGCACCTTTATTGGGTACACTATGGTGGAAAACCAATGCATTTAGGCACGTTGACATGGCCAAGACGATCCGCTGCAACTCAAACCGAGCTTCAGGAAGGGGGAGAAAGGTGATTTAAGTGACTATGAACGTGGCATGGTTGTTGCTGTCAGACTGGCTGAGTATTTTAAAACGGCTGATCTCCTGGGATTGTCACGCACAACCATCTCTAGCGATACTGAGAATTGTCCGAAAAAGGGAAAACATCCAGTGAGCAGCAATTTTGTGAGCGAAATTGCCTTGTTGTTGCCGGAGGTCAGAGGGGAATGGCCAGACTGGTTGGAGCTGATAAAAGGCAATAGTAACTCAGATAACCACTGGGTTACAACCGAGGTATGCAGAAGAGCATCTCTGAACTCCCAACACGTTGAACCTTGAGGCAGATGGGCTACAGCAGCAGAAGACCACACTCCTGTCCGCGGAGAACAGGACACCGAGGCTAAAATTCACACCGGCTCACCAAAATTGTACAATAGCATATTGGAAAATGTTGCCTGGTCTGATGAGTCTTGATTTCTGCTGCGACATTCGGATGGTAGGGTCAGAATTTGGCGCCAACATGAAAGCACGGATCCATCCTGCCTAGTATCAACGGTTCAGACTGGTGGCGGGGGTGTAATGATGAGGGACATTTTCTTGGCACACTTTGGGCGCCTTATTACTAATTGGTCATCGTTGCACGCCACAGCCTACCTGAGTATTGCCGATCATGTCCATGCCTTTTTGACCAGTGTACCCATCTTCTGATGGCTACCTCCAGCAGGATAATGCACCATGTCATAAAGCTCCAATCATCTCAGACTGGACTCTTGAACATGACAGAGTTCACTGTACTCACATGGCCTCCACAGTCACCAGATCTCAGTCCAGTAGAGCACCTTTGGGATGCGGTGGAACAGAAGATTGGCATCATCAAATCTGCAGCAACTGCGTGATGCAGTCGCGTCAATATGGACCAACATCTCTGAGGAACGTTTCCAGTACCTTGTTGAACCTATGCCAGGAAGGATTAAAGCAGTTCTGAAGGCAAAAGGGGGTCCAAACTGGTACTAGCAAGGTGCACCCAATAAAGTGGCCAGTGAGTGTAGATGTAATGTAGTCCTCCTAGTTACCGCTGTCATCAGTCTTGCTGTCCACCTCTACTGAAAAACCTCTTGTTTCTTTGTTAGGTGACCATGTGAGAGCAGATGATTCTGTGCTGAATAAAGTAAACAAAGGTTTTAGTCTGCGACACCAGACAACAACAACAAAACTAGCAGAGTTTGGAATGTGGTTGCACTCCTCATGAACGCTGTTAACTCCCACACAGGAACAGAATACGTCTTCCCCTTCCCCTGACCGATGTGACACCCACCTACAGATACGACTTTGTATTCACATCTTCATGTCTATGAATAAAACACAAGAATATGATTCGTTGTTGTACGCATTAGAGAGATTAGACATCTATTTATTTTATTCAGTTGTAACTTCATTTTATGGACAGCACTTACATCTATTTTACCTGAATGTCAAATGTTTATATAACTGCACACTGTGTTCCACCTTTATTGTTATACTTTTTAAAGTATGAGCTTAATATTTGGGTTGTTTGCAGATACACACTTTGTTTATAATAAACAGTCACAGGCTAAAAGACAACCTCCTTGGTGGAGGTACTCAGTCAGCCTTCCTAAGTCTTTATAAGATTCTGCAGGAGCTCCAGTTTGTCGTGTTCAAACAGAAAAACCTGGAGACACCAGCCAGAACTCAGCCCAACAAGCGAACACAAGGCCGATGTAGCCTTGAAGCGCTAACAAACAGCTGATGTTTACGATACGTTTCTGCTCAGAAACAACCGATTCGAACAGCTCAACGATGACTGTCCAAAAGCTGCTTTGCCAGCTCGTCATCAGTTTTGAGGCCTCGTGGATCACAAAGCTTCCATCTTTTAAAAGCGTCTCTAATACAAGTCCTACTCCACTGCCCAGAATGTCTGACGGCAACATTTAAAGAAGCACTTTTAAACTTTAGACATTTGTTTCAGATGTTGAGGGAGTTGAGGAACCTGTAACTCCAGGATCTGGTGCTCCACTGTGGTGTTGGGCCGACCGAGACCGTGACACCGTTGAGCACGCCAGTGACTGTTGACTGACAGCTCCTGTAGAAAAGCAGCGCTATTGGTCAACGCGGTAGGCTCGCAGAAATGATTCGTTTAGCTGTAGAGGCCAGGGGAGGGACTTAGGAGAAAAAGATTGTTCACTTTTTCTCATAGAACAAGGTCAGATGGTCAAATTTAAGGATTTTTAAAGTCATTATAAAAACTGAAACTTAGGCACCACACCTTTAATATTCCAAGTTTTTACTGGACAGAAATAGAAAAGGAGCTGGGTGTGAGGGGCAGCTTTCACCACAGTCATGTATAAAACAATCATCTGATGACGTTTATTCCCACAGCAGCGTCAACACAACTCAGGACTTCCTCTAGCCCTTCACAACAAGAGTCTCAAACAAGCCTAATACATCCAGAACTTGTAAGTCACTCTGCTGTTGGTCCCCACGTAAACTCCTGCTACAGTCAGGTTGTGTTTGGCTCCAGAGTACGAGCCTAGTGCCATCAATTATTCACCCAATGCATTATGGGTAAGGAAGGTCCTTGTGACGGTTCCATTTGGATTGTAGTCTTATATATATATATATATATATATATATATATATATATATATATATATGTATGTATTTGTCTTTTGTTTTGTGACAAAAAGGAATGATCCAGCTGCTCTTTACAAAGGTCTTAGCGACTGGTTCTTTAAAAAGGGCTGCACAGCGGTGCCGCAACAAGGTTGAGGGTTCACATCCCGACCTGTGCATGCGTGGCTTCATTCTGGGTACTCCGGCTTCCTTCCATGTGTGTGTGTGTGTGTGTGTGTTGCCCTGCGATGGACTGGCGACCTGTCCAGGGTGTCCCCCGCCTGTTGGCCCGTCGACTGCTGTTGACCAGCCCCCCCTGCATGGACAAGCCGGTCCAGATAACGGAAGGATGATGGACGGTTATTTAGAAGCAGCTTTGAGTTACACCATCTTCTCACCTGATGGACTTGGACAGCTGGCAGTTCTGCTGCTTCATCTCCTGCAGGTTCTTGGTGGTGTTCTGAGCCTCCTGCTCTCTGCTCCTTACTTCCTCCTGCAGAGAGGCCCGAGCTTGTTCCAGCTGCAGCTCCAGACTGGCCACCTACAAACAGAACCAACACGTGGAAATCAACATCACCTGAAAGTTCAGTAAGAGACCATGGTTCTCGACCGGAAAAGGGTGGCTTGCCACCTCCGGGTCGGGGGAGAGGTCCTACCTCAAGTGGAGGAGTTTAAGTATCTCGGGGTCTTGTTCACGAGTGAGGGTAGGAGGGATCGGGAGATCGACAGGCGGATCGGTTCGGCGTCTGCAGTGATGCGGACGCTGTGCCGATCTGTCGTGGGGAAGAGGGAGCTGAGCCAGAAAGCCAGGCTCTCGATTTACCGGTCGATCTACGTCCCAATCCTCACCTATGGTCATGAGCTTTGGGTAATGACCGAAAGAACGAGATCGCGGATACAAGCGGCCGAAATGAGTTTCCTCCGTAGGGTGGCCGGGCTCAGCCTTAGAGATAGGGTGAGGAGCTCGGACATTCGGGAGGGACTCGGAGTAGAATCGCTGCTCCTCCGGATCGAAAGGAGCCAGTTGAGGTGGTTTGGGCATCTGGTCAGGATGCCTCCTGGACGCCTCCCCGGGGAGGTGTTTCGGGCATGTCCTGCCGGCAGGAGGCCCCCGGGTCGACCCAGGACACGTTGGAGAGGTTACGTCTCCAATCTGGTCCGGGAACGCCTTGGGGTCCTGCCGGAGGAGCTGGTGGAGGTGGCCGGGGAGAGGACGGTCTGGAGCTCCCTAGTTGGGATGCTGCCTCTGCGACCCGGACCCGGATAAGCGGAGGAAGACGACGACGACGACGACAAGTGAGGGAGCGGAGTTTAGTTATGACATAAGCAGCTTGTGGAGAGTGGAGCCCTGCGGGTGAGCTGCTGTTTTCCAGCTCTACTAACTAGACACCGCTGTCATCCATCAGCTGTAAAAGAAGTAAATTTAGTCAAATTAATATCTCATTCAGTCATTTATTGCTCAAAAAAAAGGACACAATAACAAGACATCGTTATGGAAATGTTATGATTATTATTTCTTAATCATTGATCCAATCACCTGAATGTAATATGTATTTCTCTATGCCTACATGTATGCTCATGTATTCAGACACACACACACACACACACTTTCTTATCTCATGTTATAAATAAACTGAGAATTCAGGAGCTCGGGGCAGTGGCCTCGTAGCTTCTGCCTCCCCACTGCAATCTGGAAACTTGTCTGTCGTTTGTTTAGTTTTCTCTGGTTGCAGGCACTGGGTTGTCGATAAAAATCCTTGACATTATTGGTTCTTCGAGCCGGGGTCCCGGGTTTCCTCTCGACGCCAAAAACCACCGCCGGACACCTGTCGCGACACCTCCAAAAGCCTCCAGCACCGGCTTTCGCTGGAGGTTGGTGCTTGGATCTGGACGTCGCTGCAGGGAACCACACGGATCTACGAACTCAAGGCCTGCGCCGACAGATCTGGTGAGACACGTTGTTGTTGTTTTGTGGTACTGAGAGAAATCCTAGGTGACCAGAGGTGAAATTGGTTTTTGAGCGTTTTGCCTTGAATAGAAACGCAGCTCTAGTTATCTGTTGTTGTTTGTTCGTCTTGGATGTTGTTCTGCTTTAACCGTTGTTGAATGAATGTGTGTGCCTGGACTTGCCTTAGCCTTGTAGAAAGAAGGATATCGCAACTCATTAAACACCTGTCTCACGTATCGCGGCCAGACCTGTAAACAGGTTGGCGGACATCATTAAACACCTGTCTCACGTATCGCGGCCAGACTTGTAAACAGGTTGGCGGACATCATTAAACACCTGTCTCACGTATCGCGGCCAGACTTGTAAACAGGTTGGCGGACATCATTAAACACCTGTCTCACGTATCGCGGCCAGACTTGTAAACAGGTTGGCGGACATCATTAAACACCTGTCTCACGTATCGCGGCCAGACTTGTAAACAGGTTGGCGGACATCATTAAACACCTGTCTCACGTATCGCGGCCAGACTTGTAAACAGGTTGGCGGACATCATTAAACACCTGTCTCACGTATCGCGGCCAGACCTGTAAACAGGTTGGCGGACATCATTAAACACCTGTCTCACGTATCGCGGCCAGACTTGTAAACAGGTTGGCGGACATCATTAAACACCTGTCTCACGTATCGCGGCCAGACTTGTAAACAGGTTGGCGGACATCATTAAACACCTGTCTCACGTATCGCGGCCAGACTTGTAAACAGGTTGGCGGACATCATTAAACACCTGTCTCACGTATCGCGGCCAGACTTGTAAACAGGTTGGCGGACATCATTAAACACCTGTCTCACGTATCGCGGCCAGACTTGTAAACAGGTTGGCGGACATCATTAAACACCTGTCTCACGTATCGCGGCCAGACCTGTAAACAGGTTGGCGGACATCATTAAACACCTGTCTCACGTATCGCGGCCAGACTTGTAAACAGGTTGGCGGACATCATTAAACACCTGTCTCACGTATCGCGGCCAGACCTGTAAACAGGTTGGCGGACATCATTAAACACCTGTCTCACGTATCGCGGCCAGACTTGTAAACAGGTTGGCGGACATCATTAAACACCTGTCTCACGTATCGCGGCCAGACTTGTAAACAGGTTGGCGGACATCATTAAACACCTGTCTCACGTATCGCGGCCAGACTTGTAAACAGGTTGGCGGACATCATTAAACACCTGTCTCACGTATCGCGGCCAGACTTGTAAACAGGTTGGCGGACATCATTAAACACCTGTCTCACGTATCGCGGCCAGACTTGTAAACAGGTTGGCGGACATCATTAAACACCTGTCTCACGTATCGCGGCCAGACCTGTAAACAGGTTGGCGGACATCATTAAACACCTGTCTCACGTATCGCGGCCAGACCTGTAAACAGGTTGGCGGACATCATTAAACACCTGTCTCACGTATCGCGGCCAGACTTGTAAACAGGTTGGCGGACATCATTAAACACCTGTCTCACGTATCGCGGCCAGACTTGTAAACAGGTTGGCGGACATCATTAAACACCTGTCTCACGTATCGCGGCCAGACTTGTAAACAGGTTGGCGGACATCATTAAACACCTGTCTCACGTATCGCGGCCAGACTTGTAAACAGGTTGGCGGACATCATTAAACACCTGTCTCACGTATCGCGGCCAGACTTGTAAACAGGTTGGCGGACATCATTAAACACCTGTCTCACGTATCGCGGCCAGACCTGTAAACAGGTTGGAGGACATCATTAAACACCTGTCTCACGTATCGCGGCCAGACCTGTAAACAGGTTGGCGGACATCATTAAACACCTGTCTCACGTATCGCGGCCAGACCTGTAAACAGGTTGGCGGACATCATTAAACACCTGTCTCACGTATCGCGGCCAGACCTGTAAACAGGTTGGCGGACATCATTAAACACCTGTCTCACGTATCGCGGCCAGACTTGTAAACAGGTTGGCGGACATCATTAAACACCTGTCTCACGTATCGCGGCCAGACTTGTAAACAGGTTGGCGGACATCATTAAACACCTGTCTCACGTATCGCGGCCAGACTTGTAAACAGGTTGGCGGACATCATTAAACACCTGTCTCACGTATCGCGGCCAGACCTGTAAACAGGTTGGCGGACATCATTAAACACCTGTCTCACGTATCGCGGCCAGACTTGTAAACAGGTTGGCGGACATCATTAAACACCTGTCTCACGTATCGCGGCCAGACCTGTAAACAGGTTGGCGGACATCATTAAACACCTGTCTCACGTATCGCGGCCAGACTTGTAAACAGGTTGGCGGACATCATTAAACACCTGTCTCACGTATCGCGGCCAGACTTGTAAACAGGTTGGCGGACATCATTAAACACCTGTCTCACGTATCGCGGCCAGACTTGTAAACAGGTTGGCGGACATCATTAAACACCTGTCTCACGTATCGCGGCCAGACTTGTAAACAGGTTGGCGGACATCATTAAACACCTGTCTCACGTATCGCGGCCAGACTTGTAAACAGGTTGGCGGACATCATTAAACACCTGTCTCACGTATCGCGGCCAGACTTGTAAACAGGTTGGCGGACATCATTAAACACCTGTCTCACGTATCGCGGCCAGACTTGTAAACAGGTTGGCGGACATCATTAAACACCTGTCTCACGTATCGCGGCCAGACTTGTAAACAGGTTGGCGGACATCATTAAACACCTGTCTCACGTATCGCGGCCAGACTTGTAAACAGGTTGGCGGACATCATTAAACACCTGTCTCACGTATCGCGGCCAGACTTGTAAACAGGTTGGCGGACATCATTAAACACCTGTCTCACGTATCGCGGCCAGACTTGTAAACAGGTTGGCGGACATCATTAAACACCTGTCTCACGTATCGCGGCCAGACTTGTAAACAGGTTGGCGGACATCATTAAACACCTGTCTCACGTATCGCGGCCAGACTTGTAAACAGGTTGGCGGACATCATTAAACACCTGTCTCACGTATCGCGGCCAGACTTGTAAACAGGTTGGCGGACATCATTAAACACCTGTCTCACGTATCGCGGCCAGACCTGTAAACAGGTTGGCGGACATCATTAAACACCTGTCTCACGTATCGCGGCCAGACTTGTAAACAGGTTGGCGGACATCATTAAACACCTGTCTCACGTATCGCGGCCAGACTTGTAAACAGGTTGGCGGACATCATTAAACACCTGTCTCACGTATCGCGGCCAGACTTGTAAACAGGTTGGCGGACATCATTAAACACCTGTCTCACGTATCGCGGCCAGACTTGTAAACAGGTTGGCGGACATCATTAAACACCTGTCTCACGTATCGCGGCCAGACTTGTAAACAGGTTGGCGGACATCATTAAACACCTGTCTCACGTATCGCGGCCAGACTTGTAAACAGGTTGGCGGACATCATTAAACACCTGTCTCACGTATCGCGGCCAGACTTGTAAACAGGTTGGCGGACATCATTAAACACCTGTCTCACGTATCGCGGCCAGACTTGTAAACAGGTTGGCGGACATCATTAAACACCTGTCTCACGTATCGCGGCCAGACTTGTAAACAGGTTGGCGGACATCATTAAACACCTGTCTCACGTATCGCGGCCAGACTTGTAAACAGGTTGGCGGACATCATTAAACACCTGTCTCACGTATCGCGGCCAGACTTGTAAACAGGTTGGCGGACATCATTAAACACCTGTCTCACGTATCGCGGCCAGACTTGTAAACAGGTTGGCGGACATCATTAAACACCTGTCTCACGTATCGCGGCCAGACTTGTAAACAGGTTGGCGGACATCATTAAACACCTGTCTCACGTATCGCGGCCAGACTTGTAAACAGGTTGGCGGACATCATTAAACACCTGTCTCACGTATCGCGGCCAGACCTGTAAACAGGTTGGAGGACATCATTAAACACCTGTCTCACGTATCGCGGCCAGACCTGTAAACAGGTTGGCGGACATCATTAAACACCTGTCTCACGTATCGCGGCCAGACCTGTAAACAGGTTGGCGGACATCATTAAACACCTGTCTCACGTATCGCGGCCAGACTTGTAAACAGGTTGGCGGACATCATTAAACACCTGTCTCACGTATCGCGGCCAGACTTGTAAACAGGTTGGCGGACATCATTAAACACCTGTCTCACGTATCGCGGCCAGACTTGTAAACAGGTTGGCGGACATCATTAAACACCTGTCTCACGTATCGCGGCCAGACTTGTAAACAGGTTGGCGGACATCATTAAACACCTGTCTCACGTATCGCGGCCAGACCTGTAAACAGGTTGGCGGACATCATTAAACACCTGTCTCACGTATCGCGGCCAGACTTGTAAACAGGTTGGCGGACATCATTAAACACCTGTCTCACGTATCGCGGCCAGACCTGTAAACAGGTTGGCGGACATCATTAAACACCTGTCTCACGTATCGCGGCCAGACTTGTAAACAGGTTGGCGGACATCATTAAACACCTGTCTCACGTATCGCGGCCAGACTTGTAAACAGGTTGGCGGACATCATTAAACACCTGTCTCACGTATCGCGGCCAGACCTGTAAACAGGTTGGCGGACATCATTAAACACCTGTCTCACGTATCGCGGCCAGACCTGTAAACAGGTTGGCGGACATCATTAAACACCTGTCTCACGTATCGCGGCCAGACTTGTAAACAGGTTGGCGGACATCATTAAACACCTGTCTCACGTATCGCGGCCAGACTTGTAAACAGGTTGGCGGACATCATTAAACACCTGTCTCACGTATCGCGGCCAGACTTGTAAACAGGTTGGCGGACATCATTAAACACCTGTCTCACGTATCGCGGCCAGACTTGTAAACAGGTTGGCGGACATCATTAAACACCTGTCTCACGTATCGCGGCCAGACTTGTAAACAGGTTGGCGGATATCATTAAACACCTGTCTCACGTATCGCGGCCAGACTTGTAAACAGGTTGGCGGACATCATTAAACACCTGTCTCACGTATCGCGGCCAGACCTGTAAACAGGTTGGCGGACATCATTAAACACCTGTCTCACGTATCGCGGACAGACTTGTAAACAGGTTGGCGGACATCATTAAACACCTGTCTCACGTATCGCGGCCAGACCTGTAAACAGGTTGGCGAACATCATTAAACACCTGTCTCACGTATCGCGGACAGACTTGTAAACAGGTTGGCGGACATCATTAAACACCTGTCTCACGTATCGCGGCCAGACTTGTAAACAGGTTGGCGGACATCAATAAACACCTGTCTCACGTATCGCGGCCAGACCTGTAAACAGGTTGGCGGACATCATTAAACACCTGTCTCACGTATCGCGGCCAGACCTGTAAACAGGTTGGCGGACATCATTAAACACCTGTCTCACGTATCGCGGCCAGACCTGTAAACAGGTTGGCGGACATCATTAAACACCTGTCTCACGTATCGCGGCCAGACCTGTAAACAGGTTGGCGGACATCATTAAACACCTGTCTCACGTATCGCGGCCAGACCTGTAAACAGGTTGGCGGACATCATTAAACACCTGTCTCACGTATCGCGGCCAGACCTGTAAACAGGTTGGCGGACATCATTAAACACCTGTCTCACGTATCGCGGCCAGACCTGTAAACAGGTTGGCGGACATCATTAAACACCTGTCTCACGTATCGCGGCCAGACCTGTAAACAGGTTGGCGGACATCATTAAACACCTGTCTCACGTATCGCGGCCAGACTTGTAAACAGGTTGGCGGACATCATTAAACACCTGTCTCACGTATCGCGGCCAGACTTGTAAACAGGTTGGCGGACATCATTAAACACCTGTCTCACGTATCGCGGCCAGACTTGTAAACAGGTTGGCGGACATCATTAAACACCTGTCTCACGTATCGCGGCCAGACCTGTAAACAGGTTGGCGGACATCATTAAACACCTGTCTCACGTATCGCGGCCAGACTTGTAAACAGGTTGGCGGACATCATTAAACACCTGTCTCACGTATCGCGGCCAGACTTGTAAACAGGTTGGCGGACATCAATAAACACCTGTCTCACGTATCGCGGCCAGACCTGTAAACAGGTTGGCGGACATCAATAAACACCTGTCTCACGTATCGCGGCCAGACCTGTAAACAGGTTGGCGGACATCATTAAACACCTGTCTCACGTATCGCGGCCAGACTTGTAAACAGGTTGGCGGACATCATTAAACACCTGTCTCACGTATCGCGGCCAGACTTGTAAACAGGTTGGCGGACATCATTAAACACCTGTCTCACGTATCGCGGCCAGACCTGTAAACAGGTTGGCGGACATCATTAAACACCTGTCTCACGTATCGCGGCCAGACTTGTAAACAGGTTGGCGGACACGCCGTACAGAGTCCGGCTGTGGTTAGATTCACAGTCGAAGGGCAGATTCGAAAGCCTAAATCTGACCTCATACCGAAGAAGAGACGGTGTAACATTTAAAAATGGGAAAAAAAACCTCACAAACACCTTGGAGTACAGGTAGTGCACTTATGGAAAAGAAACATCCAGCAAATGAGAAAATTATCAGGAGATGGATCAAAGAACATGATTTCTCTGCTGATTTGAGAACAACTGACGTGTATAAAGAGGAAAAACTAACTCCCTGTTGCAACATGGTCACTACAGTGGACAGATTCTCAAAATTGTGATTTATTTATTTATTTTGCTATTAAGCACAGCTGTTGAAGACCTTATTCCATTTTTACTTCAGTAAGTCAAGCCCATATTTCATGTTCAGAATGCACGCTGTCCACAGGAGTGAACATGTAATAAACTATTTGCAAATTATTAAATGTTACAAACAATATTGTTGACATTTGTTTCAGTCGCACCCAACGATGAAAGATGAATGAAAGTATTTGTTAACGAATCGTGGTTAAAGATTTCATAATTCATGCATCAAAACGGTTAAGCGCTGACCAGATATTTCATTCCTGGTATTCTGGTGGTTAATATCATTTGAACTCTGAACCGCGTCACTTTTAGTGGCTGAAAGGGAAGGGGTTTAGGGGAACCCCTCATTTGAGAAGTTGATTGTTTAACAGTACTTGTGGGGAGGAAAGGAATATGTAGGGTTTTGGTTGAAACCTCTTGGACTGAGAAACTGACTGACCAACAAACAACTAATGACTGTTGTAAAATCGCATTTTATCTCCTTATTTTGTTGTTTGTTTTAAATCTTTGTTTCTGACGTTTACAACCAAGACAAGGGAGTTCAGCGGATGACAATCGCACCCGGGTGGAAACAATCTGGTGGGCAGTACCTGTTGAATTCAAAAACTGCATTTTGAACACTCTAAAAATATTGTTTGTCATCAGCTGAATCTTTCTGGCGTCTGTTGAAATTTAGGAACTTGTTCAGATCTCCGATTAGCGAACCTTGGGGAGAAACTGTGTGGAAGTAAAATTAAATGAGACAGCAGATTAAAGCTGCTGTAGGGAATTTACATTAAAGTTTAAATTGGTTTAATTCTTCATATATAGAGCTCCGGACCCCACGTGACTCTCAGTTAGTGGACGCCATTTTGGCATGCAAAAAAGGTAAACAAACACGGATGTAAACATGAACGTGAACGGGATCCGCTTGGATTTTACTTCGTCGGAGTTTACTTCACACTTTAAAACAGAAGAAATCGTTTTATATAGTCAGAAATTAAATAGACTAAACATCTCCGACCCTTACCGTGCCCCTGGGATACTTTTTAAAAACGCCAGAAGCTGTCGGAGCGGACTTCTTACCGGCACAACACCAGACCTGGCCGGGGAAACCCCTTGGGATTCCCCCGGCCAGAGGAGCTGGGGAGAGGTCTGGGACTCTCGACTCTACTGCCTGCTCCGACGCCAGAAGCTTTGAACTGAAGATTAGTCTTAGAAAGGGGGTCTTCCTATAGTCGGGTCATTTCTTTCCTGACTCACCTGTTGCTGCAGCAGACTCTGGCTGTCCTCCAGCTCAGAGACCCGAGTTGTACTTTCAGTCAGCATGGTCTGCTGCTGCTGTAAACACACCTGCAGCTGCAGGTTCTGCTCACCAGAGCTCTGACACACCAGGCTGGCACTGTGAAGCTTCTCCTGCAGGGAGGACACCTGAAAGACAACGAGGAACCCGTCTCAGAAGCGGAGAGCAGGTTCAGAGAAACCAACTAGAAGGGTACAATGCTACCATGTTGGTTTTCTTCTGAAGCTCAGTCTCGTAGTTCTTTTTCACCTCCTCCATCTGCTGTAGGTAGGCGTTCAGCTCTTCTCTACATGCGGACAGGCACGACTGCAGTTCAGCTACCTGATGTGTAAATAGGAAGTAGGTACCTGATGGTCAACGTTGGATCTTCACTGGTACAAGAAGACAACAGGACTTTGCAGAGGAAATCATGGTGGACTCTGGTCTGACTCCAGAGCAGCACAGAGACTAAACTCTGCAGGATGATGTTCTCAGGTTTTCCTACTCTGCTTCTGAATTATGACTCGGATTATAATGCTCCGTCTAACCAGTGAAGCTCGGGTGTTTAACTACGTGAAAACTCTTTTTTGTGTGGTTCTTTGAACAGACCTTGGCAGCAGACTGAGATGCCTGCTCTCTGAAGGTCTGCAGCAGCTCCTGGTGTTGTTGAACCTCAGCCTGCTTCTCCTGAAATCAAAGATGAGAATGTGTGGTCCATGGTGACCTCTCCTTATCCACAGCGGTTCTGGAGTTCCCAAACCTGTGACAGCTGCTCTAGAGAGGCCTGCAGCAGGAGAGCTGCTCTCTGAGCCTCCTCTCTCTCCCTCTGTAGAGAACTCAGCTGCTGCTTCATCTCCAGCGTCTTAGCCCGGGCCTCCTCCGCACAGCGCTGCAGCTGCAGACAAGATGAAGTGTTCTAGATAACAGCTCAAACCGGTTGTATTTAGAGCTAATAAATAACGTTGCTTGTGTGCATGCAAGTGTGTGTCAGCGGCTCACCCTTTCTGCCCGGTGCTGTTCTTCACTCAGCTGGTTACAGTGAGCTAGTTTACACTTTTCCAAAGACTGCTGGTACTCTCTCTGCTTCCTGCTCATCAGTGACTGACAGTGCTGAAACGCGCTGGTCTTCTCCTGTAATCAGAAAACCTGAGTGTGTGTGTGTGTGTGTGTGTGTGTGTGTGTGTGTGTGTGTGTGTGTGTGTGTGTGTGTGTGTGTGTGTGTGTGTGTGTGTGTGTGTGTGTGTGTGTGTGAGATATAAGGAACCACCTTTCGTCAAGCTTTTTGACAGGTCTATTGTTCTTTGACCTTTATGACCTTTCCCCCCAAACCACCTTACATCAAACATGACAGGTGTATTGTTTTATGACCTTTAATGACCCCATATGTCAGGGGGGCAGGGGTAGGTTCGCTGGAGTTTTTGACAATTAAAATTGCGCCCACATTTTCAAAGTTAAACACATTTCTTTTAACAACGGTAGTTTCTGCTTCAGCCCTCTCCCCCCTCCCCCTGCTTCAGCCCTCTCCCCCCTCCCCCTGCTTCAGCCCTCTCCCCCCTCCCCCTGCTTCAGCACACCCCCCCCCCCCTGCTTCAGCCCTCTCCCCCCTCCCCCTGCGCAGCGGCCACAAACTCACTGATGCGCCTGCAGCCTCTCGGAGTTCCTGCTGCTCTAAACATTAAAATAATTATTTCATTTTCTGTTCCTCACTTCTGATTACCTTCAATGGTGTCTGTTTGTTGCAACCAGCAGGTACAAAAACTAACTTGTTTTTATTTGACTATTTTTCTGTCCTGCCTGTTTATTATCTTCCTGCATCTCCTCTCAATCCTAAAGAGAAACTGCTACCTGGGTTCATATATATTCACCTCATGAGTTACCTTTGAACTGCAGTTCTAAAAGATCTACCGACCGCTAAAACAGCGGAGTGATCGCTGCATCAGTTAGGTGCGTCACCGAGGACAAAACAGGTGATGCGCCCCAATCCACAGCAGCGAAACGCATCAGGCACAAATAAAATAATAAAAGTTTGTGTGTTTGTGTGTGTGTGTGCACGCGTAAGTGCGTGCGTGCGTGTATGTGCGTGTATGTGTGTGTATGTGCGGGTGTGGGAGTTTGCATGAGTGCGTGTGTGCAGGTGTGTGTGTGTGTGTGTGTATGTGTGTGTGTGTATGTGTTTGTGTGTGCGTGCGTGCGCACGCGTACGTGTGTGTATGTGCGGGTGTGGGTGTTTGCATGAGTGCGTGTGTGCAGGTGTGTGTGTGTGTGTGTGTGTGTGCGCGCGTACGTGCGTGTATGTGTGCAGGTGTGTGTGTGTGTGTGGTGTGTGTGTGTGTGTGTGTGTGTGTGTGTGTGTGCGCGCGCGTACGTGCGTGTATGTGTGCAGGTGTGTGTGTGTGTGTGTGTGTGTGTGTTGTGTGGTGTGTGGTGTGTGTGTGTGTGTGTGTGTGTGTGTGTGTGTGTGTGTGTGTGTGTGTGTGTGTGCGCGCGTACGTGCGTGTATGTGTGCAGGTGTGTGTGTGTGTGTGTGTGTGTGTGTGTGTGTGTGTGTGTGTGTGCGCGCGTACGTGCGTGTATGTGTGCAGGTGTGTGTGTGTGTGTGTGTGTGGTGTGTGTGTGTGTGGTGTGTGTGTGTGTGTGTGTGTGTGTGTGTGTGTGTGTGTGTGTGTGTGTAGCCTACCTGTAGCTGACCTTCCAGCTCTGTGTTCTTCAGTGCAGCCAGACTATAAGCAGAGGACTTCTCCTGCAGCTGTTTCTCCAGAGCAGCTACTCGTGCACTCTTCCTCTTTAACTGAAGAGACAAAAAAGGAAGTGGTCATTTTGTGGCTATGCACTGCTCTCCTGTACAAAACTACAAGTATTCCATCTGTTTTTTATACTCATTAGTGCTTTACAACAAAATCAGTCATTCATCCATTCACACACCCATTCACACGCTGGTGGGGATGAGCTACGATGTAGCCACAGCTGCCCTGGGACGCACTGACAGAGGCGAGGCTGCCGAGCACTGGCGCCACCGGTCCCTCCGACCACCACCAGCAGGCAACGTGGGTTAAGTGTCTTGCCCAAGGACACAACGACAGAGACAGACTGAGCGGGGCTCGAACCTGCAACCTTCCAATTACGGGGCGAGCTCAACTCCTGTGCCACCGTCGCCCCAGTTTATTTCTTTAACACCAAATCATTAAGCCAGTCAGTAACAAGTTTCCTATATAAGGAACCCAGCAGGTCGCATCGAGACACTGACTAGTGTCAGAGTCTTTACAGCAATCCTCATACTAAGCAAGCATGCAGCAACAGTGGAGAGGAAAACTCCCTTTTAACAGGAAGAAACCTCCAGATGATCCTGGCTCAGAAGTCAGAGAAAACACACACACACACACACACCAGTCTCACAGGAGGGAAGACAGGAATCACAAAACATAAAAAACTAGAAGAAAATTAAAGTTAATGATGTACATCTGGGATCACCGGCTCCGGTCCTCGAGGGCTAGCATCCTGCACATGTTAGCGGTTTCTTTGCTCCTACACACCTGATTAAAATGAAGGAGTAACTAACAGGCCTCACTCCATTCAGGTTTGGTAGAGCAGGAAACACAGAAAACTAACAGGATGGTAGCCCTCGTGGACCGGAGCTGGTGACACCTGCTCTACATCGAACAGATTATAAATGCTGTGAATAATCTGCATTTAAGTGGGTTTAAAAATGCTCTCACACACTTTCTTTTGTTGAACGTTCTTTGTTGTCGAGCTGCTGCGTACACCTCAGAGTTTTTTATTACGGAGATCTGGAAAATGATGGAATGTGTCATTGGTGGCTTGTAAACACTCTCCAGCAGGTAAGAAACGCACAAACCGGTCAGAATCAGCTCAGTGAGATGTTGGGACATAGGATTACACCAAGCCCCCATAATTCGGGTCTGAAAATGAAGCCAACACAGAAGTGGCAAAAATTGCAGTTCCACCCTCATCCACTAGGGGCTGGTGTCAGAAGCAAGCAAATCCTCATTGACTCCCATGTTAAAAATACCAATTTCACAGCAGAAATAAACATGTTTACAGCCTGGTACCAGAACATGTTTTTGGCTTAAAGGGACTATAAGGAAGTTTGACAGCCAGAACATGTATAGAAATAATAAATGTCTTCTTCATACATTCTCCTGCAATGCCCTGGTCCTGTAGGATGAGCCCTGGCATTTTTACTGTGATTGCCTGTTTTTCTGTAAAATCACAGAAAAAGAGAGATGCTCGGGTCGAGCAGGCTGCTTCATGCGCGTTCACGCTCAGGCATCGCCCGTAGCATTTGCTATCCGTAGCTTTAGCAGCAGAGAGAGAGGCAGTGCCACTTTGTCGCTCTTCCTAACGCCTAGTGACAAAGCTAGCTACATTTCTGAGGACCCTTAGCTACTTTCTGTAGAACTTTCTTCTAGATATTTCCTGCTAATTAGCAACAAAATAGCCATTTTTGCTCCGAACCGTTCTTTGAACGTTGTTTCAGCTGTCATCAAGGATATAAATGTTACAGATGCTAAGGACGTCACTGGCGCTTTAGCTCATCAAGAAAGATGACGGACTCCCGTGCGGAAGATCTAGATTCGATTCTGAGTGTGAACATAGTTTATTTAGAGTTTATTTTTTACATTAATGGTATATTTTTTTACAGTAAGATGCCCAAATTTTTATTTGAGACTCGCCGAACGGCATTGAATTCACAGATAAAAAAGATGTGGGTTCAACTTTCATTTTGGAACAATTTTTCAAGCAAGGGAAGGGAATGATCTGAGCATGCAGGAGGACTGACCCATCATAAACCTTTGTCGGCTGTGCTGAAGAGAAAGCTACAGAACCACATTATTTAATTAATTAGCTGCGTGTTCTCCTGCCCTCTGTCCTCCGGAGCACACACACACACACACACACACACACACACACACACACACACACACACACACACACACACACACACACACACACACACGGAGCTGACTGTCTCAGCTGTTATTTTCGTTAAGGAGTGTGCACGTACAGCATGCGCGCCTCGTGCACGAGCCTACTATTGAAGCTGCCGTTACGCTTTGGGCCTGAGGGGGCGATCACGAGCATAAAAATTCAAAACTCCGTAAAATCCCTTTAAATGATCTAGTTTACACTCATGACAACTCTGAGGGGGGTGAATTTTTTTCTCACTCTTCTGTCCCAGCGGGACAGGGGAGCTCATTCCTGGGTCGGAGTCGGCCCGCAGCAGCAAGCCACAGGCTGCAGCAGGTGATGGCGGGGCAGAGGAGCTGAAACCTGGGCCGGATCCAGTACGCAACGGCGCGCAACAGGCTCCGGCAGGTGATGGCTGTGTGCTTTTAATTCCCAGCGGGGCAGGGGAGCTCATTCCTGGTCCAGAGCCGGCCCGCAGCAGCGCGGTACAGCCTACATAATTAAGTCATTCCAGAGGATAAGTCGCAGGACCGGCCAGACTATGAAAAAAGTGTGACTTATAGTCCGGAAAATACGGTAATAAGGTAAAACCCAGTGCATTTAACATAATGCTGCATTTTTGGAAATGGGTTGAAATATGTTGGTATACATGTTGGTAGAGCTGGGTTCCGACTATCGGTATGGTCCCCTCCCCTCAACTGCAGCTCGGCGCATCTCTGATCGCCGCGGCGCTTGTCTGCAGCGTGGGCTGCCGGCTTGTGGAGCTCTCGGATGGAAACCGATGTTGTCCACCCGGTTCTCCCAGGCGGGGCGCATCTCTGATCGCAGCGGCGACAATGGATCTCTTTACTATAACACAGATTATTATTACCACAAACTGAATTTACACTTTAGAATTCCTGAAATTAGCTTTGTTTTGCTTTTCATGTAGCTGCTTATTGTCATCGGGGTTGTTGAGGTAGAAAACGTGTATTTTATCATTTAGATTAGCTGCTTCGGTTAAGTACGTTTGCAATTTGCATATATTGGTAAACACCAAGCATGTTTTTGGAACAGCTTTGCTGTTTGATGTGGTCGTGGACCTGGTACCGGGTATGTCACGTTCAATTAGCAGTGTGACGCATAAGAATGGTAATTTGGCATCCCCTAGTGGTGATATGTGGTTAGCGCTTCTGAAAACTGACTTGCAAAAATGAGCCCCACCCAAAAAGAAATTCACCAGCTGCCACATGCACACACCTGCACACACACACACATCCACATGTGCAAAAACTGATACACACACACACATATAAATGACAGGAGAACGCATGTCACCTCCTTCTCTGTGTCGGTGGCTTGGCTGACTTTGCCCAGCAGCTCAGTGTGGAGGTTCTGGTAGTGAGAGGCTCTCTGGCTCATGGAGTTCTGCAGGGAGAAGATCTCCTCCTGCACTCTGCTCAGACGCTCCTGCAGCTGCTTGTTCAGGCTGATCTGCTTCCTGCTCTCAGCTTCCTTTAGCTGCAGCACTCGCAGCAGCTGCTGGTAGCCTTCGCCTAAAACCGGGTCAAACACACAGAAAACACTAAAACTCAGCTTACAACTAAAAACGATAGCATGATGTTTAGATGTAATAAAGTGTTAAAGCGCTGAGAATGTTTTTGTGTAGAAACATTCAATAATATCAGTACTGTTAACAGAACCACTCAGGTGAAGAGAGGGGCGGAGCTGTCAACTGACCACTACCTGGTGAGTTGGCTTCAATGGTGGGGGAGGAAGCCGGTCAGACCAGGCAGGCCCAAACGTTTTGTGAGGGTCTGCTGGGAACGTCTGGCAGTCTCCTGTCAGAAGGAGTTTTAATTCCCACCTCCGACAGAACTTCGAACGTGTCCCGAGGGAAGCGGGGAACCTTGAGTGCGAGTGGGCCACGTTCCGTGCTTCAGGCGGTTAGGAATGCTGTCCTATCAGGCCTTTTTGGCCTCTCAAAGGCAGCTGATGGATACCGGCAGTCCAAGCGAAATGCGGCTCGGGTGGTTGAGGAGGCAAAAGCCCAGACCATGAGACCATGGAGCAAGACTTCCGTATGGCTTAAGAGAAAATTCTGGTCCACCATCCGGCGTCTCAGGAGGGGAAAGCAGTGCGCTACCAACACTATTTACAGTGTTGACGCCGTGCTGCTGACCTCTATTTGGAATGGTGTGGATCGGAGGACAGAATACTTTGAAGACCTCCTCAAACCCACCGGCGCGCCTTCCAGTGAGGAAGCAGAGTCTGGGGAATTTGAGTTGGACTCTCAAATATCTGGTGCCAAGGTCACCGAGGAGGTCAAGAAGCTCCTCTGTGGCAAGGCTCCAGGAGTGGATGAGATCCGCCTGGAGTTCCTTAAGGCTCTGGATGTTGTGAAGCTGTGTTGGCTGACGCGGCTCTGCAGTACTGCGTGGAAATTGGAGCAGTCCCACTGGACTGGCAGACCGGGGTGGTGGTTCCCCTGTTTATAAAGGGGGGCCGCAGGGTGTGTTCCAACTACAGGGGGATCACACTCCTGAGCCTCCCTGGTAAGGTCTATTCAGGGTTCTGGAGAGGAGGGTCTGTTGGATTGTTGAACCTCAGATTCAGGAGGAGCAATGTGGTTTTGGTCCTGGCCGTGGAACACTGGACCAGCTCTATACCCTTAGGGGGATCCTGGAGGGTGCGTGGGAATTTGCCCAACCAGTCTACATGTGTTTTGTGGATTTGGAGAAGGTGTTTGACCGCGTCCCTCGGGGGGGCCCTGTGGGGGGTACTCCGGGAGTATGGGGTACCAGGCCCTCTGATACGGGCTGTTAGGTCCCTGTATGACCGGTGTCAGAGATTGGTCCGCGTTGCCGGCAGTAAGTCGGGCTGGTTCCCAGTGAGAGTTGGACTCCGCCAAGGCTGCCCTTTGTCACCGATTCTGTTCATAACCTTTATGGACAGGATTTCTAGGTGCAGCCAAGGTGTGGAGGGCATCTGTTTTGGTGGCCTGAGGATCAGGTCTCTGCTTTTGCAGATGATGTGGTCCTGTTGGCTTAATCAGAACGTGATCTTCAGCTTTCGCTGGAGCGGTTCGCATCCGAGTGTGAAGCAGCTGGGATGAGAATCCGCTCCTCTAAATCTGAGACCATGGTCTTGATTCAGAAAAGGGTAGAATGCCTTCTCCGGGTCAGGGATGAGGTCCTGCCCCAAGTGGAGGAGTTTAAGTATCTCAGGGTCTTGTTCACGAGTGAGGGAAAACTGGAGCGTGAGATCGATAGGCGGATTGGTGCTGCATCTGCAGTGATGCGGGCGTTGTACCGGTCTGTCGTGGTGAAGAGAGAGCTGAGTCAGAAGGCGAAGCTCTCGATTTACCGGTGGATCTACGTTCCTACCCTCACCTATGGTCACGAGCTTTGGGTAATGACTGAAAGAATGAGATCGCGGATACAAGTGGTCAAAATGAGTTTCCTCCGTAGGGTGGCCGGGCTCAGCCTTAGAGATAGGGTGAAGAGCTCAGACATTCGGGAGGGACTCGGAGTAGAACCGCTGCTCCTCCGGATCGAGAGGAGCCAGTTGAGGTGGTTTGGGCATCTGGTCAGGATGCCTCCTGGACGCCTCCCCGGGGAGGTGTTTCGGGCATGTCCTGCCGGCAGGAGGCCCCCGGGTCGACCCAGGACACGTTGGAGAGGTTACGTCTCCAATCTGGTCCGGGAACGCCTTGGGGTCCTGCCGGAGGAGCTGGTGGAGGTGGCCAGGGAGAGGATGATGTTGGGATGGGATGCTGCCCCCGCGACCCGGGCCCGGATAAGCGGAGGACGACGACGGCGTAACCACTTACAAAACATGACATGTAAAAAAATGGTGAAAGTTTGCATTTCTCTGGTCGTCCAGTGTGACCGGCTCTGCTGCAGCTTTTTGATCCGTCTCTCGACCAAAGACCGCCTCCGACAGTCTACAAGCACGCTTAAAAACCTACGACTGCTGTCTGCCATCGACCAATGAAAACACACCTTTGGGACGCCAGAGCAGCAAGACTCCGCCTCTCTGAGCTTTGTTTTCAATTTATGTTTAAAATGTGGATTATAAACTACACACCAGTTTTATTTCTGTCAACAGCCCAAGTTAAACCGGAGTTTAAACGACGTTTTTAGACCTTCAGCTGAAATGTTTGATGCTGTGATCTGTGGGAGCTGAGAGGAGATGAGCGCACCAACATAAAAGATAAAACACAACAACATGAGATCCTTTAGCTGTTGGTGGAAATCTCACATATTTAACCCACGAGGATGGCTCAGTAGCGTTTTGCTGCGGATGGACAGCAGACGCTCCGCTCCGTGACAGCAGGTGTGGTGAGACGTCACGCAGTGGAGCTGCAGGCCATAGTGAGACCGCTGCTGGAGCAATCTGTGACAGATGGTTACTTCTCTGTAGTGCAGTGGATTCTCATGTATAAAGGAGGATGGTGAATGGCCAGCAGGCAGATCAGCTGTTCAGCTGGAAGACAGGAAAAGGAGACCCGCAGCCGGAGTCTGACGCCAAAGCGAGGGTTTTAAAGATGATCCTTCCTCTGTGGGGAAGATGAGCTGGGGCATGAGCGGACGCTAAAGAAGTGTTGACGGCCGAGCTGTGCTTTATGTTCAGCGTTGTTTTGGTTAGCGGTCGTGACGTTTGCTCTGGGAGAGGCGCTGTGCTGCTGGAGCGAGACGTCGTACAGTCGGACTCAGATATCGTGTGCCGTGCAGTGTGCCACCTTTCTGGAGTTCTCACGGCGTGACATAAACAATCCTGCACGACGGCTGAAACTGCACAGTGTGATACCGGCTTAAGTCATTAACAAACTCACTCAGGGCCCAAAAAAACAAACAAACAAACAAACAAACGAATCGTCTCCATAAAGGCTCTGTCCATCATCAAGGATCAAATCATTTGTCCCATTGCCCAACCCTAAACCACACACATTTGGGCCATTCCCATCTGTACCGGGTCGGCCCGGGCCGGGTAGCGTAGGTTGTTTACATATCTGGGTGGCCTGGTATTTTTCCGGGCCAACCAAGGCTCATTCTCAGCCCTCTTCTCGAGGGGGTCTGCTTCAGGCCGACCAGGGCCAACACGCCCACTGCTGACAGCAAATCCACACCTTCCATTAGAGCAAGCCTCTGATTGGTGGGTAGAATCAGCCCACATGGGCTTAAGGCAAGGATGTGTGGAATCAACCGGGCCAGGCTGGGGCCAACTGGGGCTACCCGGCCCGGGCTGACCCGGTACAGATGGGAATGGCCCACTGGATTCTCCTCCTACCTGGTTTCAGGTGCAGCAGATGTGCAGCTCCAGAGTGCTCCACAGGGGGCAGCATGCATGGGTTGGTGCACAGAGGGCCCTCAGGACCCTTAAGTGATAAAACAGCATCAGGTGACAGAAAGAGTGTGTTAAGTCACTGAAATTGGTTGCCTAGGCAACAGACAGGTTTGTGCAAAGAAAGTGTGTGTGTGTGTGTGTGTGCGCGCGCGTGCGCACGTGTGTGTGCGTGTGTGTGCGTACGTGTGTGTGCGTGTGTGTGTGTGCGTGTGTGTGTGTGTGTGTGCGTGCGTGTGTGTGCGTGTGTGTGCGCGTGCGTGTGTGTGCGCGCATGTGTGTGTGCGTGCGTGTGTGTGTGTGTGTGTGCGCGCGCGTGCGTGTGTGTGTGCGTGCGTGTGTGTGTGTGCGTACGTGTGTGTGTGCGTGTGTGCGCACGCGTGCGTGTGCGTGCGTGTGTGTGTGTGTGTGTGTGAGTGAGAGATGGAGTCTACCTGTCGAAGGTGCAGCAAGGCTACTATGGCCTCCAGGTTGGCCAGCTCCGTCTGGCTCTGGTGAGCCTCTCTGAGGTTCTGGACCACCTTCTGCTCCTGGTTGCGGGTTAAAATGCGCAGCTCTTCCAGCTCCCTGCACTCTGCTCCTCGCGTCTGCAGCTGCAGCTGCAGCTGGGAGGCCCTCTCCTCAGCTTCATCAGATCGGACTTGGAGGTCAGCCGCTGTTGCTCTGACTTGATGCACCTCCTCCTGCAGCCGGCTGGAGACACAGGAGGAGGAGGAGGAAGAAATGATCTACAGATCATGAGGCGCTTTGCAAGAACAAAAATAAAAAGATTAAAAAATGATGAAAGACATCATAGAAATGGGAAAAGTAAAAAGTGTGATTCAAATGTGAAGAAAGGGAAGAAAAGGTCACCAGTGGACCCCGGGAAAGGCAGAATTGGTAGGAGGATCTGAACGTGAGAGGTCTGAGCAGGACGGCTGGTGAAGCAGCACAAGACCCAGAAGGTGACCTTTGTGGGTCAGGGTCGAAACTTCCTCATATTACCATCCTAACCCAGTGGGTACCTGATGGTCTGGCGCTGTTCTGCTCGCTCCCTTTCCAGGGTCTGCAGCTGCAGCTCACACTCAGCGAGGCTCTGCTTCAGCTTGTTTTCACTCTCTGTTACCTTGAAGCACACAACAAAAGTGCTCATCACCACCAACGGCCAGACCGCGTTAGCTCCTGATCAGGATGAATTCTTCAGTGGGCTCACCTGCTGGAGTCGAGCAGAAACAGTAGCTTTATGATCTTTGAAAGCTTCTTTGAGCTTCTCTGCATTTTGAAGAGCTTGGTTCCGTTGCTGCTCAGCTCTGAAGACGGGGTCAGATCAATCTGAGGTGAAACTTCAGCCAGTTCACTAAAAACAAACACTTTAACGATCACACGGGACAGCTAGGGACGGGAAACGCTGTCCTCATATTCGTGGGTGATAAATGATCCACCGGGCTAACATGGCAGTTAGCTTAGCGCGCTGATCAGGGATCACAGGGACACATCAGCTCATCTAGGTTTACAATCCGAGCAGAACCCTGACCCCCCAAAGAGCTTTACTCACTTTAGCAAAGGAATCTAGCGGTGTCCACAACACAGGTTCTGGGTGCTTCAGCCCGGCAGACCAAATTCTCTCATAACCAAAATAACCAAACATCCCCATGAGTCACTCCAGGAGGGATCAGCTGATTGGTGGCTTACATGTATGAATGGTCTCAAAAGATGTTCTACTATATGAATGAATGAATGAATGGATGGATGAATGAATGGATGGGTGAGTGAGTGAGTGAACGAACGGATGAATGAATGGATGACTGAGTGAGTGAATGAATGAATGGATGGATGGATGGATGGAGGAATGAATAAACTAATGAATGGATGAATGAATGAACGAGTGAATGAATGAATGAATCTATTGTGGTGCTCCAGTGTTCGTGTATACACGCTCGCGTGCACCGAACTGACGACGGAGATGGGGAGCCCGGCTGAGAGCAGCCCGTTTACTAGACGATGGCTTTAGGGGTCGTGAACAGGGACGCACCTTAACAAGGTAAATAATAATCAACCTCTCTCCCTGGGTCATCATTATGGGATGTCCGTCCCGTTCCCGTGTGGTCTATAGTAAACCAGGAGTGGACTGGATCACCTCTTTCCAAACGTGGTTCTGTCATCCAGTTCTTGTCTGAGTGTTGCCACGACGACATCACTGTTGGCCGCTGCTTCCTGGCAACACGCTGCCCTCAGCTCTGCTGCCCTACAAGCATGCAGACACACGTCAGCAGAAACAAACCCTGTTTGAAGACTGCTGTGAAGCATCAGAAGAGGCTCAGAACACACACCTGCCACCAACCTTCTCACAGATCTAACAGTCGTGAAATGACCTTTGTGCTAATTCTGTTAGCTCAGAGTGTGATGAACATGATGTTTAGCTACTGACGCGTCATCTTTTAGCTCCATATCTGTACAGCAAAGAGTTAAAAGCCAAGGATGTCTGATACAATCACTATCAGCCAATTCTATCATTAAATCGTGATATTATTGGTATCAGTTTTTACTCTTTCATTAAAAAGCACATTAAACTCCTCAGCGTCACCTCCCAACCAAAGGTAATGGTCTCCACCCCGTTGGACGTGCCTGGAAAACCTCACCAGGGAGGCATCCTGACCAGATGCCCGAGCCACCTCAACTGGTTCCTCTCGATGTGGAGGAGCAGCGGGTCTACTCCGAGCCCCTCCCGGATGACCGAGCTTCTCACCCTATCTCTAAGGGAGAGCCCGGCCACTCTTTGGAGAAAACTCATTTCGGCCGCTTGCATCCGAGGTCTCGTTCTTTCGGTCACTACCCAAAGCTCGTGACCATAGGTGAGGGTAGGAACGTAGGTCCACCGGTAAATCGAGAGCCTCGCCTTCTGACTCAGCTCTCTCTCCACCACGACAGACCAGTACAATAAAACATAAAACTAATTTTGAACAAATCTAAAAAGATAGGTGACTCAGAACTTCCTGACCTGTCAGGAAACAGGTTTGTTAGATCTACTAAACTAGTAGATCACGACTAGTCAGAGGTGTGAGGTTACTTTAGGTCGCTGGTCACAGCCTCCAGCTCTGCTTCCAGCTGACGAATCCGTTCACTCATGGCTGCCGAGCTGCTGTGAACCCCCATCCTAGAGCCTCGGAGACGCACCTGTAAAAAATCAATACACTTTTCACTGAATGCTAGATGAAGCCACAGTAGCTCAACAGGTTGAGCGGGTGGTCCAGTAATCAGAAGGTTGCAGGTTCGATCCCAGCTCCGGACAGAGAATTCTGCCGTTGTGTCCTTGGGCAAGACACGTAACCCCCCTTGCCTGCTGGTGGTGGTCGGAGGGACCGGTGCTCGGCAGCCTCGCCTCTGTCAGTGCGCCCCAGGGCAGCTGTGGCTACATCGTAGCTCATCACCATCAGTGTGTGAATGTGTGTGTGAATGGATGAATGATACACTGTAGTGTAAAGCGCTCTGGAGTCCTTACTCTGAGAGGCGCTATACAAGTGCGGGTCATTTATCATTAATTACTTTTCTTTGCTTGTGTAGAGATACGCGTCTTACCTGGGACCTGAAGACAGCTGGGTCGTAAAGCAAAGCCTCCGGGTCGCTGAGCATCTCCTCATCCTGCGTGATCAGACAGGCGTTCTCCTGTCGCACACAAGCTACCTTCTTCCTGGTGGACACACACCCCGTCTCTCCTGGCTGGGAAAGGAGCGAAGCAGGCGGAACACGAGGAGAAACAAGAGTGTTATGGAAATTTTATGTTTATTAATTCTTAATCATTGATTCAATCAACTGAATGTAATATGTATGTAGTGCCCTATGCCTCCCTGCATGCCCACTTATTCAGACACACCCACACCGGCCCCTCCCTCTCTCTCTCTGTGTGCATAAATAAAGTCTGAACAGATGTTCGGGGCATTTTGCCTCGTGCATATGCCACAGTTAAAACTGTTTGACTTGTCTGCTCGTTGTCTCCTTTTCTCTTCACTATAGGACATGGGGTTAGGGATACTGGTATCGGTATCGGTGCAGATACCGATACGATACTGGTATCGGTAAAAGTTAACCGATACCAATGCAGTTGCTTGAAAATGGCTTCACTGTAACTTGTCATTTCTGTTCACCTAATATTTTAGTTTTGTGATGATTTTTATTCATGTATTTTACTTTTTATCTACCTCACAGTCTTTTCCTGTCGAGAGCAGAGAAGAAAATAAAATCTGTATTCCAAATCATTGTATTTTTTCATGTGGTAGAAGTATCGGCATCGGTAATCGGTATCGGCGAGTATTCAAATCAAAGTATCGGTATCGTATCGGTTTGGAAAAAAGTGGTATCGTTGCATCCCTACATGGGGTTATTGATAAACATATTGATAAAATCCATGACAAAGAGTGTCAATCTGAGATGTTTGAACATGTCGGGATGGAGCTGAACCTGTGGCTCCTCTCATTTTAAAACGGTCACGACTATGGGTAGTGCTTATATTAAAATCAGAAGTCATGATAGGTCTAGACATCTTCTCCACCATCTAGAGGAAAGAAGGATTTTTTTTATGTAGCACCTCTCTAAACAATAAAAACTAGAAAATTCCTGAAGACATTTTAAAAGGGACCTGCCAGCTGGCAGAGCAGCAGGTCCCTTAATTATGCAAATTTAGAGTGGCACAGAATCAGAATGAAAAGAAAAATCTGTGTAATTTGCTAATAAATTTGCCATCATAAATGGAAACACTTAGAAAAGTAAAAGCACGCCTCCTACGGCCGAGTCGCTCGTTTGGACGCGTGACTTGTGGGGCAGCACGCTGCCTTTCGAGCCCCATTAACGTCCGCGGAAGACTAATAATAAAGGAGATTAATGTCCAAAAACTCCCCAGGTGCATAACAATAAGGCACCTGACTGCTGCAGCAGCAGGTCCCTTAAATATGGGAGATGAGATATCAAATAAAAATAGAAATGAAGAAAGTAAACATGGGAACCCAACAAAACCTAAAAGAACTGACAGAAACAGCAGCATGAAGAGAAGGTTGTGAGGAAGGATCAGCAAAAGGTCACGCAGCAGGCGCTGCACCCAGTGGGCTTTGGTCACTGGACCTCAGGGACCTGCTGGGAGTGTAGGGACTGGAGCAGTGCAACAAGTGCAGCATAATGACCTGAAATGTTCACTGGTACATGTCTGTGATTACAAGAATGACTTCAGCAGCTCTTTCAGAACAAAAACTGTATTTTTCTTGTCTTCAGTCTGATTTTGTTTTATTTTTGATTGACACTTAAAGAATAATGGCAAAATGCCACAAAGACATTTAAACTGTATACCATGTACACACGTACATATAAGGTTGATGATTTTATCTAACTGTAACGTAGAAGATTCGTTAGGTTTTTCATGCCTGGAGGGACTTTGTGGGCGTTTCATGCTGTTACCTTGGAGCTGGGGGTCAGTGACCCCAGACTGCCAGCACAACCAGCGCGACTCTGAGCCATGAGGGCACCCTGCCTGAAGGTGCAGTAAGCTCAGGACGTCCTCTGCTGCTCCACAGCCCCCACCATCGGGAAGAAGGTCAGACAGACATCACGTCACAGTGGAGCTGTAGCTGGTGTCAGTTAGCTCACCTCCGGTTCAGTCCCACTCCTTAACATATCCTCTTCTTGAACATCAGGAGAAAAACTCGAACACGACGAATTTTAGCTGATGTTGTCTATTGACTAGTTCAGCACAAGTTGGCTGTTTCCTGTTTGCGGCTGAATTAGCCACTGGTGACAAACAAGCTAACCTAGCAACCTTTTGTACAACATGTAAACAAAAAAGCTAACTGGATCAACAGGTGCTTTGTTACTTATTGTTGTTCCTGAAAGAAAAGCTACAGAACGAGAGAGAAAATAAGTTTATAATTAATTTGAGGAAATAAGTCGACTGTTCTGATCCTAAGAACGCTCAAAGCTTAAATCTGTAACTTCTACTGTAACCAATTTTCCCGGATTTCGGTGGAAGTTGTGATGCTCAAAAACGGTTTGTAATTTTTAGTCTCCGCCCACATCCTAATACCAGCCTTTGCTATTGGATAGCATCTTGTATTCTGTTAGCTGACTGGTCGAGGCTGTAGGCACGCGCCAGGAATCAGGGTTAGAGTAAGAGTTATGTTACAAGCCAAAGGGATAAAAATTCGCGCACGTTTGAACACTTTGGTTTTTTTTAACGGCGTCTAAATCACCGTTTTAAAAGTTAGAACGCCGAGAAAAGCGGCGGAAATCCCTCCAGAACGCGTATTTCACGCTTCACGCCGTCTTCATGGTGTGTTTCAGAGCGCCGTAAAAAACGAGGTTTTATTCTGGTCATTGAACCGCGCACTGAGGAACTCTTGACGCGTCCTCACGTTTCTGTTTTTAATTAATGTAATTCACACAAGTTACAACAGAAATAACATTGATTTTCCAATATGGTGTTGTATAGCAATTAATGAAACTAAAAGAAAAAATGAAAGAAAAACCTGAGAGTGAAACATAATAAAAGAAAAAAGCGTACACAGACAGAGGTTCAAACAAACATAGGCAAGAATAACAAGCTGTAGCTAATTTCAACTACCTACAGTTTTGAGAGCCTTATTATTTTTCGATGAGGAGATGGTTCCTATAGTGTCCAAGCTCCATTTTTAAAACAAGCAACTCAGGTTTTCTGCCAACGAACTTCCTTTTATATTTGAGAAAAATATAAATATGTTTACAAAAACGTAAGTATTCTTATCTTTGCTGTTAAAAGTATGATAACCAAAAATAATATTCTTGTAGTAAAGCTGAAAACTAGGAATACATTTTTGGAAGTCCTTCAAAAAAACGTATGTGTAAATTTACAAGAACAAAACAAAAGGGGTCGCTCTTGACAGAAGGAGCATTATCAGCCCTCCCAACCAACATCTGTTACAAAACTGGACCAGTAAGACACAGCTGGTGGTACAGAAACCACTGCAATCTGAAAAAGAGACCTTATTTTAGCATTAATTGTTGTAATTAAGGCAAAGCGAGCGCTTCCAAAAGAAGAATTTAAAATATCTGGAGGACTGTCTGCAAAGAGAGAACTACGGGAACATCTAAAAAGCCTGGATAAACCAGATGGGATAGCATCAAGTACTGTTGGGAATTCTTTACGTGTTACTGGAACATTAACCTTTTCTAGAAATTCTGAATAATTGTAATAAATTCTGAATAAATAAAGCTTTGATTTGATAAATTCCATCTCCCTTATATAATTGCCTGACCAAGATAATTCCATTATTAAACCAGTTATTTATGAACAAACTTTTGTTTATGTAAACAATATTGCAGTTATTATAAATAATGCAGTTCTGCTGAGAGAAGTTGTTTGTAAACCAGTGTCCATGCCAAAAGAATCTGTTGGTGGAAAAGAGAGTTTAAGTGGTATTTTCGGAATACTATAGTTTCAAAGCAACAGCAGTCCGCCTAATTCGGAAAATACATAGCATGAAATGAAGTTCCTAATAGATGTGGGGTCTTTCATGCATTTTTTTTAAACCTATTTATTTTAAAAGTATTTTGTGTGTTTGTGACAGGGTGATCGTCACTGTATCTCCATTGGTCATACGCTCATGGCGATAGGGGGCAGTAGATACCTAAATTGTTGTAAGCAAGCAGTATTTTTATGTTGTCAACGGATGGCCATTAGGGTCAAAAATGTCCGAGGAATGCAAACTTCAGCAAAATGACGATGTTATCAGACTCCCTTTCATCACTGGCGATGAATGAAGAGGTAAATGTGTAAAACAACATTTATAATAGTGAAAGGTTTGTAATCATTTGGTAAAAATAAGTAAATGTGTTTATTCCTCATGGGCTCCCGTAGAAGGAAACATGGCATGGAGTCACCCGAGTGTGTTCGAATCCGTGGGCAGGTACGGGTCCTCGCCGGACTAGCAAGGCCGGCTCCTTGCTCAACCACTTTAAAATTTTTTTTTAAACAATCTTTATTAACACATATGCAACAGACAAGACATAACATAGTGACAAAACAACATCGATGTACAGGGTGTGATGCATTAGATATGTACCGTAAATCCTCTAATACAGGCCGGTATTCAATTAACGGGTGGGTCTCACATTTTTGGCCGGTGTCGGAGTCGGCGGAGATGAATAATGGCCGGTCTCTTATTGTGGCCGGGTGGAATGTGGTAACAAGCAAGTACGGGGGGCGGTTGTGTCATCGTCTCACTTTTGATTTGCCAGTGATAGACCGCGAGGGTAACTTTAACCGTGCGGAGACGAAGAGGAGGCGAAAATTTGATATCAAGTTCAAAGAGAACGTGCTGATTATGCTGCAGAACACTGGGGAGCAGTAGCAGGGGTTGTATGAACTAGTCGACTTCACTATAGTGACTTTTTATGCCTGTCATCGACTAGTCGCTGTCTCGTGATAATGACCGGCAAGATGCAGCCCTCGGAAAAGACAGCAGCCTGCTGTCAGCAGGTGACAAGCTCCTGCGCTCGGGGGGGGGCAACGCGCCGTGCCAGAGCGTCGGTACTGACACGCGATCGTTCATGTCGGCTCATTTCCTTTAACGTTTTCTGTCTTTTATTTGCGCCTGATGTGTTTCGCTGCTGTGGAGCGGGGCGCATCACCTTGTCCTCCGGTGACGCACCGATCACTGATGCGGCCACCAAGCAGCGAGCACTCCGCTGTTTTTGCGGTCGGTAGATCTTTTAGAACTGCAGTTCAAAGGTAACTCATGAGGTGAATATATATGAACCCAGGTAGCAGTTTCTCTTTAGGATTGAGAGGAGATGCAGGAAGATAATAAACAGGCAGGACAGAAAAATAAATAAAAACAAGTTAGTTTTTGTACCTGCTGGTTGCAACAAACAGACACCATTGAAGGTAATCAGAAGTGAGGAACAGAAAATGAAATAATTATTTTAATGTTTAGAGCAGCAGGAACTCTGAGAGGCTGCAGGTGCATCAGTGAGTTTGCAGCCGCTGCGCAGGGGGAGGGGGGAGAGGGCTGAAGCAGGGGGAGGGGGGAGAGGGCTGAAGCAGAAACTACCGTTGTTAAAAGAAATGTGTTTAACTTTGAAAATGTGGGCGCAATTTTAATTGTCAAAAACTCCAGCGAACCATTAGTTCTTTTTGCTCAAATAGAAATAGAGACCTGCCTCTAATTCTGGCCCTCCTTCCAATAAAGGCCTGGAGCTTGATGAGCTTGTGTTAAATACAGGCCCGGGCCTGTATTAGAGGATTTACGGTATATACATTGGCAAACAGAGACCTGAAGAAAAAGGCAGGTATCATCGGCCAGCTGACTGATGGTTAGAACATCTTGACCTATTTTAATACCTTTTACATTCACAGTTAACAATGTAAAGATTAAGAAGTTCAGCAGCTATCAAGAATAAGAAAGGGGAAATAGGACACCCGTGTCTTATTCCACGCTTCACATCAAAGCGAGGAGAGGTACCATGTGCCAGGGATCCACAGCTGTTAATATTAGTGTAAAGAGTGATTATTATGTTCCTGAAGTTTTCTTTGAACCCAAAATAATGTAAAGCCTCAAAAATAAATGAGTGCTCCACAGTATCAAAAGCTTTGAAGTCCAAAAACAAAATCAAACAAACGTCCATAATCTAAAATATCTAAAACAAGCCTGATATTATTAGAGGTGCGTCGACCTTTCATAAAGCCTGACTGTGTTACAGAGATCATTTCTTCTAAGCAACATTTTAATCTATTTGTGTATAGTGATGCAAGTATTTAATAGTCTGAATTTAGTAACGTTGTAGGACGCCAGTTATTCAAATAATGTAGATCTTTATCAGGGTTGGGAATTAAGGATATTACACCTTGCTTCATAGAGACAGTCAGTTTCATATTTTTGGCACAATCCATGAACCCAGCAACTTCCTTTCATCTCAGACTCAATCAAATCTCAGTGAGATGTTTTTGACTGTTAAGATTTGAATAATTTAGTTAAATTTTTTAGATTAAAAACTCACAAAAGAACCACAATGTTTATAAGTACCGGCCCGTTTGAACACGCCTTCCCATTCAGTGTGTTGTCTTCATCTTCATGACCACTCACATAGGTAGATTCTCACTGAAGGCATCAAAACTATGAATGATCACGTGTAGTTTTGTACTTAACCAAGAGGTAGTCATCTGACATGGTTTTCCAGCTCGAAGGACTTCCTCTTGGAGCTCATCAAGACAATGCAGAGTGCAAAGCAGTAATCAGAGCGGAAAGGGTGGCTGTTTAGAAGAAAACAGAATATAAAACATGTTCTGTCACCTTTTCTGGTGATTTTTCCATAAAAGTGAAAACTGTGGATGTCTCCGCTCTGTTGCTCCAACTCCAGAGAAACCTTCGAGACGTGACCCAAACCAAGAAGAATCCTCAAGGTCAGGTGGAAACCAGCGGCTTCTCGTGATGGTTTGTTGCAGCGGTGCCCGTGCGCTCCAGGGCAGCTGTGGTTAAGCTGTAGCTCATCACCACCAGCGTGTGAGTGGATGAATGAGTGAGACCCCGACTCTGAAAGGCACTCGTACAAGTGCAGGACTTGTGTCGTCTGAAAAGAGGCACCGTGAAAAACAGAACTTCAAAATAACTTTTATTCATCGTTTAACAGAACAAGTTCACAACAACACCAGCCAACAGAACGACGTATAAAATGTTTAAGAATCATTTGAAAAGCCAAAGAGGAGCTTAGCTGAACTGTCTTAGGCTGAAGGCGCCTTCTGGAAGCCGGTGAAGAAACCCCCGCCACGTCCCCGTCAGAACCAGCTGCTGGTCGCGTCTCCGACGAGACAAACCCGACGTTTCTGTTCAGCGTCGGAGCGTTCCCAGTGAACAGCTTCTACGTCTCCATCAACACATCAAAGGAAGGTAACCGCCCACAACAGCCTGACCCGGAGCTGCCTGACCCGGGACGACCTTCAGGAAATGGTTTCATCCGGTTTAACCGTGTAATCGGGTGAGTGGCTCCACCTCAGGCTGCCATGAGCTTAAACAGCAAATCAGGAGTCTTTAAATCAGGTTAGATAACGAACAAACGTCTGAGGCTGAACTTCAGCCAAACGAGACGATTTATAACAGGAGCAACATAACGGAAATCTACACCAGTAAGGAGAAAATGTAGACCGGTGCGATAGAAGACACATCCGCTGGAGTTGTTGGTGAATGGATCTCCTAAACAG